CTATCACATGAAGTACAACAAAAATAGATTTTTTTTTTAAAGTGACAAAATCTAGGAAAGTTCAAGGAGTATTAATACATTTTGTACGTCACAGTACTGTCACCTTTGGCAAATTTTTACCTCCACAACAAAGCAACAGCCTGTGTAACCCTGTGTATATCTGCTTATCATACATACAGCTGATAATACAGGAGAAAGGGAAACAGCATCCACAATCTTGATGGGAAATGTTAAGACCAAAGAGAAAAAGCAGAACAATCAGTACTCTGTACAGTAATAGCAAAACAGGACACAGTTGTGCTACAAGTGCTTAGGCGTTCTTGGAACGTGTGACCTCGGTCCAGAGTCCAGCAACAGCATCAGAGAGAGAGAGAGAGAGGGAGTCAGCGCTGAATCCCGCCAAGCCCCCTCTTTTTGACTGCCAGTGTTGGCACATTCCTCCCTCATCGTCCTCTTCATCAGGCGGAGCGTTCCCCGGCGACACAAATACAAACTCATCAGGATCCGTCCAAACCAGCAAGGCTGACAGGTAACTAAGAATAAAAAAGCAGTCGGTAGAGATACAGCTATTTACAATCACTCGAAATGCTAGATCATTAATAGGGTGGCTGATTTAATTATTGGAAACCATCAGGTGCTCGAAACCTTTTGCAAAAGGTCTTGTTCATTCAGAAAGTAAAAAATAAATTGCAACCAGCAATTAAAGAAAAAAAAAATAAGGAAAAAGGTTGGCAGTTTACATTCATACCAGCGAGCGTTCGTTCTTAATGCTGCTGCTTAAGAACGCCTCACCCAGAGTCCATACATTTGTGCAGTTTTTAATAACATGAGCTTCTTTCCTCAGTCATAAACTGAAAGAAAACTGATCACATTTTTAAACGTAATGTGGCCGCTTCAAAAAGCAGAACAATCAAAGGAGATCCTCCCCTAAGCCCATCAAACATCAGCGTCGTAAAGAAAGCGTACTCTCTCCCTCAGACAGAAAAATACAACATAAACTCATTGTTCGGATTGTACATCAGCAGAATATTTAAAAAGAATGGAGCATAACTAAATGTACAGCATATGCCAGCTAACACTGATGTTCAATACAAGTCACTACATTCTAACATTAGATATGCAAGACCAAGTCTTCAAAAGAGGTAAGATTCACACGGCAAAGCATTCACGTGAAGTAGAAAACATACATTGCTCAGACCATAAGTAAATGCATTATAGTATAGTCAGTGCACTTCGTCTTTAGGAGTCAAAAATTTGCCCTTAGACTAGTTTAAACCATGCAGTCCACATGTTTGATTCCTGTGTATAAAGGCCTTGGCAAAAGCGTTTTGAATGATGTTACCTAATTATGCTTGTCAGCATGAATGATTTCTCTCCAAATGTGTGAAAGAGCTTTTCAATCTTAAAGCTGGGAAAATGACAGCAGCAGAGCTGACGCGTTTCTCCTTCTTCCCACAGCGATCAGAAAGACCGTCTCATCTGCACCAAAGTAAGTCGTCTGACATGTTTCTGCTCCAAAGTCTCGTCTGTCAGCGCCACTGACTTCTCGCTGTTGTGACACCAGAGTTGGATCTGGCGTAAAATGGCACGGTCCAATTATTGTGATGCTAACATGTTGCCTATCACTGTAGCTAGTTTAGTGGATTTGGAGTTCAGTGTGAAATCAGGAAAGTATTGCTCAAAAGAGTGTGAGGAAACAAAGTGGTTGTGTAAGATGAGTGTTTTGTTTCACACGGCTTAAACAAAAAAGAGGCTCCTTTAGCTTCTGAGATATAAAATGTGTGTTTTGAGAGCAAACTGAGGTTAGCTTTTTATGTCTGTTGGTTTAATGCAAACAAAAATCATTGCTGTGGAATTCAAAACTAGCTGAAATGTAGGCATGGGCCAGTTACAGATATCTAGGGTGTGCCAAGATGTATTTTAAAAGTCAGATTTTAAAATCACATTTTCCATCATTATAGCGACTTAAATTTGAGCACTGCTGGTCAGCTTTATGAATCTTTTACCCTCTTCTTTTCCTTCACTGACAAGTTATAGAAAGTTGTTTAGAAACATTTCTGGACAGAGTTAACATGGAAACCATCAGTAGTGATACTGTTTCAAAGCCGCAGAAGGAGGTTTTGTTAAGCAGCTGACTGTCTTCTCTACCGGAGCAAATAACCTGACTAATTGACCAGCTGACATCAACGCTAATAAGCACTGGAAAACTGCTCCTAAAAGTAGCAGGTGTTTATTCTGCATTTTTTTCAAAGGTCAACATATCAAGTCATAAATAAATGTTATCAGCAACATTATTATAATACACCTGATTACTGTAATTGTACATGTAATATATATGTATCAGACTATTTCTGCAGCAGGAAAAATCACAGTTGCCTTTCTGAGTTAAATAAAGCCAATAAATTATGTTAATTTTTTTTTTTTTTTGCGTAAACAATGTGATGCAGTGAAAACATACTGAAGATTACACCCTGAGAACCTCCCACCGGCCCATGCCTAGAGTAAACAGTGTTTTAGATATTTAAATACACTAAACTTGAAGTTCAGCTTTTACTTTGGTCCGCTGGTGCATGTAGTTTTGTAAACACCTATAGGATTTTGTAATTTGTGCTTTTTGCACCTCGATCCAATGCCTTCCAAACGTTTCAAAGCTGGTCTAACAGAAGACAACGAAAGAAACAAACTTTCTTCTCCCTCAGTCATTGATGGATTTACTCTGAATAACTTGCAGCTGTTAGATGAGTTTTGTCCTCATAAAGATTTGTAGTACTGACTTGTGGCTGGTAATAATTATCACAGATCATTTTGTCCATTCAAAGTAATGTAAACAAGTGTTTTCTGTAGCCATGTGGTCAGAGTTCCTCTCCTTAAAGTTATATTTGCATTCAAAGACACATTTCATGCAGATGGTACAATTATTCTTTTCTTTTTTTAAAGAAACACATTTATCCCATATGTTTGTCTTAAAAAAGCGTATTTTCTCTTATTTTATATATGTATATAGATATATATATATCTTTTATATAGTACATATGTTTGTTTTTTTTTTCTCCTATGCATTTCCAGGGCAGGCACCGGACACACACTGGGTACAGAGGCATGCCACACTTGCATTACTGTTTGCATTCTACAGTTGGTGAGCTGGCGGGCATAACGTCGTCCAGGCAGCGCCGCAGTCGGTAAGCATGATCTGTACATCTGCACCAACTCTCAGCTGCACAAGCGCGCACACGGCCCTGTGCGCCCGCCTCCTCCGCATCACGCCCGTGCACACACGCAACCGTACATCATGTGCAACCTGACGCTAGTCGGTCCCCTCGCTGCAGAGGCGGCGTCGCATCGATCTCTGACCGGGGACCGGGTCTTGGACTGGTCCAACCAGTTTGAAATGAAGTAATTAAAGCTTTGCAGCAAGGCTCTGGGGTTGGGGGCACATGCAGAAGGTCGTGGAAGGTTATGGGTGGACACTGGCTGTTTGGTCCAGCCCAGGGTTGCAGTCAGATTCATGAATAGGGAGGAGGGTAAAGGAAAGTGAGGGTGGTGCTGATTTGTGACGATGATGTTCCATTTTTTTTTTCCATTATGTGCTTTTTTTTATGTTTTGCTGTACATCTAACTTTATAAAATGGTTTGATGACACAACTTAGGCTCAGAGTCATGGATTGCTGAATCTGCTGCTGGTTGTTTGGTCGGAGTAAGCAGGTACGAGAGAAACTTCGGCGTTTGCTACATGAGTTTTCAGCTCTATACACAGCAGGAACACAGAACAGAAGGGATGATGGTCATGCCAATACATGGGTTCTAATACTGGGTTGTAATTTGTGCTCAGTCATGTACTGTACATTTCAAAGTATTGCTAGTTAGTCGTGTTTTACCCAATAACCTGAATGTTTGTTAAACGTAGACTGCAGCTACTTAGTCATTGTCGTAGTTTTGACAGTAAAATTTGCATATTTAAACGTGGAACTTTGTTAAAGTTAGAAAATTACAAATTTTCCAGTTAGGCTGTTAACATATTCAAAATGTTAGACTTTAACTTGATTCAATCAGTAAACAATTTATAAACACACGTATAAAGTAATTTAAGTTAGATAACACTTGACTTTTAGCCAAAGAAAACGGTTCCTCACACACTCTCGAGGCTCGGTGTCACGTCAACCACACTCGCCTCGTCGTGAATCCGCATACAAACGCCATGACAAGCTCTCAGTTATCACACACACACACACTCAGGCTCTGAGCTCCACCCTTCCTCCACCTTAAAACCAGAAACCCATCCACAGCTCCGGAGAGATAAAACGAGCGGTTCATCGATTAAATAAGTTAAAAACAAGAAGAGAAGAAGTTTAGTAGTTGGTTTAAAGGACAATAGAGACGAGTGTTTAAGGAGGATTCACTGCGTTGCTGAGTGTGTACAGGACGCACTGAGCATATTCTGGTGGCCATCCTGTCGTCCTTAAACCTCACTGCGGGACTCGGCTCTCGCTGTGCTCCAATATGGTTTTTTGAGACGGAGGCCAGCTGTCAAACGAGTTCCCTCTGTGTTACATTAAACATCACAATGCACACACAAAGTACCTGTGCACCCCTGGTAGAGATGTGTAAAAGAAATCTTAAAATGTAATAATTAGTCAGCAAAATCACCACTTAATTATTGTCAATAAAAATAATTCCTATTACATCAATTTAACTGAAACGTTTTGCAGTTTCTACCCTTTTTTTTTTAGTTTGTAAGTGCGTTTGAAGCTTTTAATTTGTAATCCGTGACGTCCTCTTTCCTGAGGTGTTAAATAAAGTAACACGGCCTGTGTTTTTGTTAATATCACGTTAATGTAGAAAAAAACACAATTTCGCAGTTTTGCTGCTTCCTTTAACGTAGTCAGATCACGTGAAAAAGATTGTTCGCCAAGATCCTTCCACCACTTCCTGTCGTTTTCTTCATCGTTTCTGCCAGTAGTAACATCCGGTTGTTGGCAGAAAATGTTTCCGCAGCAGTTTTGTGAAATACACTAATTTCATTGAGGTTGAAAAACAACCTCATTCTAGCGCAAAAACTTTTTTTTTTTTTTTTTTTTTTTTTTTTTCATTGCCATTAAGCAAATCTATTTTGGATTCAATTTGCCGAATTATGTAGCCAATGGAAACGCAGCCACTGAGGCCCGTTTCTCTTAGCCGGTCTTCAGAATGGGAAAAACAAGAGAACGTAAATAAATCAGGAAATTAGTGGGGAAAATGTGTTTGGACTCTTATTATGAAGTAACGACGGAAGTAGGTCTTACTTTTTTCCATTGTTTCTCTTTGTATGGCAACGTTTTTAGAGAAACGTGAAAGATAAAACGAGAACCACTTACTTTAAAGATTTGTCTTTTGTACACTTTTTTACCAGGGCTGCTAATAATTATTAAACTTCTTCACCTCTCAAGAAAACCGTATCTCAACCACCTCGTCGCATCCGACCCTCCGGTGGGTTTGATCTGCCCCACATAATCTGGGGTCAAAGGCCGGACAGTGATTGGTTTGGATGCCAGCTAAATGTCTAATACGTAGTTTTATTTCTCCGATGGAGAGGGAGGGACAAGAATGCCAAAAAGTTAGGTTAATGAAACTTAAAAATATATATACTCAGAGTGTGTAAACTTAAAATACAAAAACTATAGCAAGAAAAGTGTAACGATAAAAAACATTAGTGACTTCACCATGAAATAGCAAAAGGGTTACTCAAACATAACTACGACTCAAAATAAATAAAAACTGTCAGAGGAGAGGATGCAGTTGGGGTTCAAAGGTGAAGGAGGGTGTTTGCTCTCTCTGTCCCTCTCTCCCTCCGTCTCCCCCTCCTCCATCTCTCTCTCTCTCCGTCACCTCTCACTCCTCACGGAGCTGCAGGCGGTAGCGGCTGTGGCGGATCTGAAAGAAGAGCCTCTCCAGCGGCGAGCGGCTCATCCCGGGTAGCCTGTAGTCCTCGCTCTGGCTCGTCCTGCAGAAGCCCAGCGACTCGTACAGCTTGTGGGCGGCCAACTTGACGGCGGTCGTCCCGAGGACCACGGCGGCGTAGTTGTTGCGCACGGCGTACTCCAGAACGCGGCGGCCCAGGGCCTTCGCGATGCCTTTGCCCCGGTAGCGAGAGTCCACTGACATGCGCCGCAGCTCCACGGTGTTGTCGTCCTCGTGGCCCTGCGCTGCCACGATGCCCACAACGCGCCCGTCCAGAACCGCCACCCAGAAGCAGGAGCCTGGTGGGGGTTAAGAGGAAAAGCTTAGAGATTACACTCGCTGAATATGTGGCCTTTACAATTCTTAAAGCTATTAAAGACAAATGAAATGATTTAAAAGTCTTAAAAAGTAAAAACCTATGTCACTGGAGCAACCCAGAACCTGTAGCTTAGCTTGTTAGCTTCATGAGAAAGTAACCAATTTGTACAAGGTTAGACTGTTTCTTCTGTAAAACTAGCCTCTATCTGCTGTTTGTAGTTTAACAATTTACAAAAACTCTAAAAATGCTTTAAAAATGTTGAATTATTCCTTTAAGATAAACGCGCTATTTTATTTAATCTCAAAGATTTGGTGCCTAGATAAAAATCAAACACTAACCGTTTGGCATTAAATTGTTTAAACTTTTACCTTTTATATTTATGGCTCCATTTATATTAATAAGTCAAACATGAGGCTGCAGTGAATGCAGATACTATCCAGGATGCAATCAGGCTAATGTAGATCATGTAACACTGATTGCATGTATTTTACTGAACTCCATGGATTTCAATCACTTTAACTTAGTATCAAATCGGTACAGACAAAATGTTTCATCTTAAATTACATTGTGGGGAAGAGATGCCTAAACTGCAGCTAATAGCATATTGCTACCAAACTACACTGTAAAATATCTGACTTTATTTTCTCTGACAGAAATCCAAAGGTAAGCGATCAGAACATCCTGCTGCTGCATTTAGACAGCACTGGGTTGAATCTGCTTAAAACACCAAAACATAGAAAACCAGAGTGAGGCGTACAGGGATTTGATTAATGACCAGTCTCTGGTGTCTAATGGCATTAGCTATTCATTAAGACTCCACTAATTAAAAGCTCTGGGATTACAGATGGTCAATATGGACTCAGAAGCTAAGTGGAAAAGCAAAGAAACTGAAATAAATTAAACCGTTTCTGACCTGTTGGCTGCAGTTTATCAGTTGCATTTAAATCATATTTGTCAAATAATAATAATAAAAAAAAACTACAAAGTGAAACACAAAGATTCAGTCTTTTAGATCAGCTTGCACTGTAAATGAAACACAGAGACAAAAAAGACTTTGTCAGACACACACACACACACACACAGGTCCAAGGTTAGGGCAACCTGTCAGAAGATTATGCAGCTCCACCATGAGAACCACAAATATCAACTTTCATGTCATCCAAGATGCCACTTCTGATGTGTTCAGCTGGGCAATAGTGAGCTAATTTTCCTTTTCAAAGATAATAACACGCATTAGACTGGCATACAGTAAGAACTTTCATAAGATCTTTGTTATAATCGTTACTTTCTTTATTTTTAAAACAGTTTTCTGTAACTATGCTGAAACGCCCTTTTGACTAAAGCCACACGTTGTTGGCCGCAGTTACAAGCTTTCCTGCCAAAATCCCATCTGTTTGCTACAGATAAACTAACTCAGACGATTCCATGACGGGCTGAGCCTGACCTCTGACCTGCAGTCGATTACCTCTAAATCCAGCCTCTCTCTCTCTCTGCCTTTACACAACTCCTCTGTCTGTTTGTTTGTTTGTTTCAGCTGAGCATCTCACGCCGTCACACACAGAAACAGCTGATAATGACACCGGCCTGCGCTGGAGTCCCAGGTGTTAGCAGGGATTTGGATGCCTCTGCAGGCCCGTGTTAAGCCCATCCGGACGCCTCTGTTGCGGAACAAAACCTCTGTGATGTGCAAGGCGCGGCTAGCAGCAGGCGGTCCCATGTTCCCTCCGTGCAAACACTGGTTCGCTAATGGCTCCGTGTCGCTGAAGGTGGGATTTCTACATAAACGTGATAAACATCCTCAGCTCAAGTTTAAAATGAAAGCAGCTTCAATGGAGAACAGTTTAAAAATAAAAAAATCAGATAGAAGAAGTTGAATAATCATAAAATTTACCTCAATTATAGACTTTAATAAATGGCAGGTTATGTACAGCCAGTTGTCCTCGCTACAGGCTTTTTCCTTCCTTCCTGTCTTCTTTTTTTAATTTCTTTATTCCCACCATTAATTAGTTATGTGGTGCAATAAATACAATTGATTTATAAAAGAATCGGTCACAGAAGAAAACAAGTTGTATTAGTTTTGTGCGAATAAAAAGTTGGTGTAGCTCACTCACTCCAGCCTTCCTTCCTGTTTCCTCACTGATTTGCCTTTTTATTTCTGTCCATTCATATTTTAAATCTAAATTAATTCTTCCTTTCTCTTGGGAGCCTAAGCAGTTTGATTCAATTCAGAACAAAGAACATTTTAAGTTAATGACAGCACGTTAACGTGAGTTGATGTTGTCGACTCGTATCGTGAGCTGAAAGTTTATCCTGAGCAGCAGTCAAAGCTGCAGCGTCGACTCCTTTACGCTGTGCCTTCATGAAGCCCTCCTGACCATCTGTCTGAGCTGAGCCTGTGCCAGGCCTGAGGACAGCAAGCGGCGCTCTGACTCTCTGCTCACAGGACGGCGCACATTACTGTCTCTGTCCCACAGACAACGTGTGGGACAGAGAGCTGCACTGGAAACCTGAAAACTGCTTGAAATATCCCTTTTTTTTTTCCTGCCCCAACTACATCTCTTATTTTGTTTTGTAAAAGAAGTTAGAGAGACATATCGACTGCAGCTGAGAACATGTTTACAGGTGATGCAAAATAAAGCATCCGCTTGTGATTCTTTCTAACCCATCACCGTTTTCAAGCGTTTAATAAAAGTATGTGTGTGTTACGTTAACGTGTGGACGGCAGGTTGTATTTGAGCAGACAGCATGACGGTCTGACATCAGCTTGTTGCGTTGCTCTATGAAGAACAGAATGACAAAAAGATGTGATATTCTGCCCTGTCAGCATTTGGAAAGAACCGCTAAATATAGCAGGTGTTTATAATTTTGCTGAAAGAACATGGTGGCATGTTGACTTTGGTTTACACCGGCCCATGCATATTCGTCATTTTCACTCCTCACAATGATTTTGAGGCATTTATGGGAATATTTAAACAGAGATCAGTTGATACAAATGTTGCATTTTTTTTTATAGATGTTTCAGCTGAAGCTGTAACTGTTTAGTCAGAGGTTACGTGTAGTTTTTGGGTCTGAATTTATTTTTGCTTCTGCTCATTAGTGTGTGCAGAAGGTAAAAAGGCAAGCCGTGCAGTTTGTGAAGCCAGGAGACTGTCTACACAGGCATGTGAAGGGACAGCTCTTTTTTTTTTTCATTGAGGCATTGAGGTCCCTGTTGATGCAGCTTGGCAGCTGCAGGAGCTCGGGACAGCATTGCTATAGTTAACCACCAGTGGTTTAGTGTTTGTGTGCAAGTCGAATGAATGAGCTTACTCACTCGGGGAAAAAAAGACATGGAAGAGGGGAGGAAAGGAAAGAGGGACAAAAAAAGAAGAAATTATTCATGTCTCTTGGATAAGAAGAAGTAGAACTAGAGGGGCTTCTGTGTTGACGGTAATAGTGATGATCCCTAAAGGACATCCAAGCACAAAGAGGGGAGCAAAGAATGATGAATAATCTGCAGGGGAGGGGACGTCAACAGATGAAATACACGAAGGCAAGAAAAAGAGGAAGAGCAGTGGGGAGATCCTTTGTAATGCATCCTACATGCAGAAAAAAATCAGATTACTGCACTGAACTGGCATCAGTGTGGGAGTGTCAAACACTCAGTGATACTCTGACTGGAAGCCTGTATGAAATCCCCCCAAATTGTGCGCACACACACACACACACACACACACACACACACACACACACACACACACCCAGAGGAGCGCATTGGGGATTGGATCTGATCGCTAACAGGATTATTCTTGTTTCCTTCAGATGAAACCTGCAGGGCTAATTCAGTTGATAAGCGTTTCGTCTAGACTCAGCTTCACTTCCACAAAGAGACGAGCGCTGCGTGAACACGCTCAGAACAGGAGAGCACCGTTCTCTGCATCGCATTGTTTGTCTCTGCTTACTGTCATTTTTGGAGAAAGCGATTTTAATTTGCAAGTCTTCTTTAATTCCACGACACAACAATAAGAAGCTGAATGAATTTATAAATTTCATTGCTTTTATTTCATCTATTTGTTTTATTTTTTTACATTAATAAAATTATCTAGCCATGCATAACAGCCTCCTTGATGCGCTCTCTAAGAAACGCCCCGCGCTTTAGGTCAAAGTTCACGCTGCAGGAATGGATTCGCCTGTCACAGGGAACTCAAGCATCAGCAGTTTTTCTCCTCCCCCCGTTAAATGAGAGCGGACTGTCAGACGTTGTGCACGTGTGCAGAAACGCAGTAAATAAATAATTCATTTGTTGAGAAGTGAGGATTTGAAACAGAAGTCGTTTTCATCACAGCCTGAACTGCGCTGCAGAGAAGATTGCTGCCTTGATGTGACATTTTGCAGACATTCTCGCTCTCTCTCTCTCGCTCTGCTTTGAAATCTCCATCAGGAGCTCTCGCTGTGTGCATTTCAGTTTTAGCCTCGCTGCCCATCAGCATGCAACCTTTGCAGGTTGAATGACTTGTGCCTTAATTTTCACACATGCTACTGTTACAGGGTGCCAGTGCATCCGTAATCTAAAATTAAGGCCTTAAAATGTCTTAATTCAAGAAGATGTAAGTTACCTTTAAATAAGTAATTACAGGTCTTAAATTTTGACATGGCAGGATTTTTTAAACTCATATATTCTATGTAGGCTTTTGCTCACTGCGCCTACAGGTAACAAGCTGCTGATGCATTTATTATTATATAGTGATTTTGGCCTCAGATGTTTGTCATAATGGTCTTAAAAGTTTGAGTTGGTGAAACCTGCATAAACCCAGTCTTCGCTGTGTCCAGGTCATTATTTTCATGTTAATGCATTCATCCGAATGTTCAAAAATCGTCAAAAAGTTACTAAACTTAAATCTTACATGTAAGACCAAGACAATATCACTTACAATGGAAAAAGCTCAACAAATGCATCACTGAATCAGTTTTCATAGCGATCGAAAATGTACTTTAATGGCATTTTATGTGACAGACATCCCAAAGTAGAGGAAAGTTCCAGCAGGACAATGACTCTAAACATGCAATAAAACCTACAATGTGGTGGTTTTCAGATTAAAGTAGGGTCAAGTGTTGCGATTATTTAAAGTCTAAGTGAAGTTTTATTGAAAGTACGGCAACAATTTCAGCCTCAGCATCAGAAGCTGGTTTTGTAAAGTACTGACTCAAAGGATTGAAAACATTTGAAAACCTTGCATCACTTTCCTTCCACATCACAACCACATAGTAACTTTATGTTGGTTCTACATGTCCTGATGAGAAACATTGACGTTTGTAGTTGTGACAGCACAAACATGGAAAATGTTCATGAGCTTTTCCAAGGCTCTAAAAACTAACTTTTCCCATCAGTGCAATGTCTAGATTTATTCGACTTAAACTGCAAACTCTTAATCTTTACAGGGGACAAGTAATCGGTCAGATAAAAACAACAGGCTTTTATGTAATGATTAATCCTTTCAATTTATCGCCTCAGAAAAAGCTCAACATGACAATTAATGAAGCTGCTGATGACACACCATTTAGTCTCTCCAATGTGCGCCTCAGTTAAGTATTGATTTAATGGCAACGTAAAACACTAGAGAAGGATAGTGAGACTTCAGTGCATTATTAATGATTACCACTTCTTACAAACACTGGATAAACCAGACGCACGTCTGCATCAAGGATGGAAGGAAGTGCAAAGATTTCTGCAGTGTTGTCGTCTTTAAAGTCTCACAACGTGTGTGTGATGTTTCAGAGAACTTGAAAATGAAATTGATTAGTTTTTAATTTTTCTACTGATTCACTATGTTTTTTCCATAATTGTAATGTCACATTTTCTTTATCCTCTTGCCATTTATGTTTGTGTATCCAAGAATATATTTTATAATGTTCCATACATGGGGAAATTAAGAACTGTGAATAATAGGTACTAAATAGGTTGTGCTATGTTCAGGACAAAGTTTGGCCATAGCATGGCTATCTTATGTTTCTTTTTCTGAACTGAAGCCAAATAATCTGTAGCAGAAAACTTATTTGTCCTCTTGATTGTCCCTAATTAGCTGAATTACTTTAGAGGTTGCCAGGCCCCCTGCTGTGTCAGCTACTTCAGGCTTTCAGCATGTCTGCACTGATGAATCTTCATCAGTGCAGACAAAGCCACTGCATAGCTTAACAAGAGATTAAATAGCATTATTATGCAGTCAGTACAAATAAATTTGTTTTTATGTGTGGTATATATATATTACAACTCAGAGTTGTGATGCTCATGTTGCTGGTTTTATTCAACATTGCCAAAAAACTCTGCGGGAGCCTAAGTGAGCTGGTGATCACATTGTGCTACAAAGTGGTAGAGCGAAGAAAGTCAATGCTTGTGGATTATTTACTTCAGCTTATCCATCTTCAACACTTAGAAATGCAAATCATTCTGATGTTTTCTATATCTGCATTTTCTTTTATCTAAAAGAAATATCTTAAAACTCTTCATACATTTTTTTGTTGAAATTAGGGAACTACATCTGTATCCTCCTACCAATCAACACTTTAGACGGCTTTTCACTGGAGACATTACTTCCTTTGTGTCCGGATCGTGGATCACGTGGAAGAAAGGAAGCACAGTGGTTCAAAATACAACGACAGAAAGCGCTAGAGGAGGTGTGCCTTTTAAATCTGAGATATTCTCTCTCTTTATCTAGCTGGTGACCAGGAAGCTCCTGGTGTCTTTATCCTAATACATATAAACATTAATCCTTTTCATTGCCTCTCTTTCTATCCTGCCTCTCCTTCTAGCACTTTTATTTTTGTTTTCTCTAATCTGTCGTCTCATCTTGTGGTTATGAAACCACACCAGTGTTGGTACACAGCAGGTGTTGCTGGAGTCGGACAGAGTTTGCTTTTATTTCCAGGGTTACGTATTGACGGTGTAACCCTGTGCTCGTTGCTTTTTCAGTCAGCTTCACGTGTTTTAAACCAGTTAACCCCATGGGTTCAATCATTAAAGAGATTCATTTGAAGTGAGATAAGAAAAGCAGATGAACATGAATACATAATGACTAAAACTCATATTGACCAATTTAAAAGGTTAAGTAATCCAGCTCCTTCTAAATGTTGACTGAGAAAACTGCAGTAGAGAGTCAGCAATATAGATTTTTGATGATAGAAACCAATAACTTTGAATGTAAAATTAAATGTGTGTGTGTGTGTGTATATATATATATATATATATATATATATATATATATATATATATATATATATCTCTATATATATATATATATATATATATATATATATATAGAGAGAGAGAGAGAGAGAGAGAGAGAGATCCTATTTCCAGTAAATGATTGTTGCAGACTAGGGGATTATTTTTGCCTTGATAGCATAAAGACGTGTCTCGCCAAGCTCTGCCGTATCTGCTGCCGTCCTGTTCAGGGTGTTTACCCCAACGTCACACCCATGTTCATTAATAAAGATGGAGGAAAAGTTGAGCACACGACTGCACCACAATCAGTTTAAACTGTCATGTCGCTGCGCAGCTTTTAGCACGTTAGCAGGTAGGAATCAATAAGCCACAGTGTTTATGGGAATCGCTGCAGGCGTTTGCATTAAAACGCTCAGCAGAAGAAGAACTGGAACAGATGAACAGGTTAGAGGTCAGAGCTTATTTCATCTGGAGGTGGGGACAGGCTCACAGAGACTTGGACCAGTCATAGTGTGGCAGGTTCTACGTTTGAGACATCTGAGCAGTGGCGGTTCAGAAAGACGATGGATTGTTTTATAAATTATTCCGACTTTAAACGTCTTCACAGCTCTCTATCCCTGACCTGCCTGCTGTGTTCCTCCTTCTCCAAGATGCTGCTTGTTTTCTAATGTTCTCTAACAAATCTCTGAAAACTTCACAGAACAGCTGGATTCATGCTTGAGTTTAAATCAAATAAATAAAAACACCAGCTGAGTTTCCAGCAAAACTTGGCTGATATTTCCCTAATGTCATAAAAACACAACATCAGTGTTTCCACTAAATAAGAAACACAATCAAAATCACATGTAAATAAGTTTGTACGACAAGCGGTTTTAAAAAATGCTGCGCCGTCCTCCTACTACCACTTCCTGTCGTCTTCTCCGTCTTTTCCGCCAGTAGCAGCATCTACTCATGTCATGTGATCATGTTTTGATCACATGACTCGTGTGATGCATTGCAGTTTTGCAAAATAATTTTGATGCAGCCGGAAAACCACCTCATCCTATTGCATAAACTTTTTATCGAAAAATCTGAGTTTTTTTTTTTTTTTTTTTTAATTGGCTTGTTTCCAGTAAGTGAATTTATTTGTATAATTATATATTTAATCCAATTTGTGCAATTATAGAGAGGTGGCTAGTGTTTGCTAAAACAGTTGGTTGAGCTGGATCTTTTTCTTGAAGTTATTGCTGTAAAAGGGGCTGAATATTATCTCCATTTATAAAACAATTGTCCTTTTCCCATCTGAACTGTGCTCTACTTTGTGTTGCTCTATCCTATAAAAGATTGAAGTATTTGGTTGTAATGTAGCAAAAGCAGCACAAATTTGTGTAACGAATGACAGCAGCGTTAAGTCGTGCCTCTCCATCGGACCCCGGCGTTTCGTCCCTCTGGGTCCGCTCGGCTTGCGCGGCTGTAATCATTAGCATTGTCCAGGAGCAGCGACGCCTGACCCCCTCTGAACCGCCGCGGCTCTGCTGCAATAATGGGAATGCTAAACTGCAACTGTGCGCTGTGGATTACCAGGCCAGCGGGCGCAGCGCTGGAGAGCGGCACACAATGGGAAGGCAATCGACTGGCTTTACTCTCACCTGTTTTCGGTGTCGGCCATGTGCGTCCAAGGCAAGGCAGGGGAATGTGGTAAACCCGACGCATATTTGTAGGTGGCCGGGGGAGGATAAATAGTTCGATCGATCTTTTCTAATTAGAAACCTTAGTGGAGGAAATGAGGCTCGACGACACCGAGCTCGCTGCAGAGAGAGTATCAGCAGTCTCCTCGGTGTGATCAATAGGCCTTGCGGTGCCCTCTACCCCCACTTCAGAGGCCGAGAGCAGCAAGGAGAGGAAGCCGGTGGGGGGAAGGAGCAAGAAAACACTCAGGGAGGAGGGGTGAGAACAACGAGGAAGGAAGGCATATTTAACTGTTTTCCTCTGCCTGAGGACTAAACTGTGTTCTGTCAGTCACACTGACTTTTATTTGGCTTCATCCTCTGCTAATTTAAAGCTGCTGTGTAAAGCGAGCCCAGGCGAGCATTAGGCCTAATCTTCACCGGTCCTTTGGATTTATTTCGTAACACTGCGGATGGAGCCTCCTACTGACAAAATCACACACACACACACACACACCAATGGGACGTCAGCGAGTAGAAGCGGTTCCTTACCTGTGGGTTTCATGTAATAGGCCTCAATGTCAGCCATGTCCGTGTTCAGAGCACAGTCCAAATAATTCTGGATAACTTTCCTGCTGTAGTAGTAGCGCGCACCCATGAGAATGAGCGGTGCACAGCAGGTCAGCGTGACAGATTTGGTCACGTAAAAGCACATTACTATGGAGAAATGGAAGAAAAGTAAACGAAACCTGTCAGAAGAGAGAATCACAAGTTTGATTTTTGGCAGGGTTTGAATCCAACAACAGACACAGAACAGCAAAGGTTCAACTTAGACAGCATGGCGACATCACAGTGGAGAAACGTGAACAGTTTGTTGATGATGAGTGGCGTTATCCTGTATCCAGCGTTCCAACACACTCCGGGGAAGTTTGGCATTTCCAGCTGAAACCACTAGCTGCTTCTAGATTTCGATTCCTGCCTCATTATTTACATCATCCACAAATTCATCCATTTTTATATCCATCCAACTAGTTTTTTTTTTTATTGAAAGCCTGACCTCTACGCAAACATTTCCAGTTGATTTTATGGTGAACTTGATACTCAGTAACTGATCACCACCTGAATTTTCACATTAAGGATGTATAGGATCGTTGAGAAAGACAAACGAGTTTAGCTGCAATACCAAGAGAAATTTCATTGTTATTTTTACCTCTTTCTGAATTTTCCAGAGCGGAGCGTGCTAGTAAGGTGTGATTGCATCAAATCAATTTTTTTTTTTTTTTTACGTGATTGGAAATTAGTCGGGTGCGACGCTAGGGGGCGCAAAGGGAAACACAGACAATTGTGATAGATGGGACGCATCGCACGTTGAGCTGCACGCAACTATTTACTCAGCAGAGTGAAACATTTTTAATGTTTAAAGCAAACATTTTTTTTTCTCTAATAACTTTCACAGGATTTAGCGGTAGGAATCTGTTATGTCTTCCTGGCACCTCGCCTAGTCACGAGGTTTTAATTTGAATAAACAAAAGAGAGAAATTCAGTGGCGCATGGAGGGGATTTAATTCCCTTTCTTTCTTTCTTTGTTTCTTTCTTTCCTTCCTCCTCTCTTTTTCTGTCCGTCCTTTTGTTTTAATTTTCTGAGCGATGGGCGCACCCTGTGGGCCGATCGTCAAACTGACTCCCTCATTCATTGAAGTCACGCCGGCATGTGACCACAGCATCAGCACCATCAGCCTCTCTACACATGCTCCATGCGCCTGGCATGCCTTTTGTTGGCTGCGTGGTGGAGCAGAACGCCGGTGCGCCGGTGGGCAAAGTTTAAAAGCGGCAACAGATTTCTGCGTAACTAACTGCGCATTGTGTGGTGCTGGATTGCGACTATAATTAAATCAGATTGGAGCTACCATATAGATTTACAGTGGGGGGCGGAAGGGGCTCCTTTGACCGCTCACCTGTCAGTAAGGCGTACAAGAACTGGGTCCGGGGCTGCTGCCAGATCCCCCTGAACGCCGAGTTGGGTATCCGCTCCATGATGCCCTCGTGGAAGATGCGCAGCACCTCCTCCTGGTCCTCCCGCTCGAACTCGCGGATAAACACCCCGTCCCTCCGCACATCCTTGGGCTCGGCGGCGGGGCTCAGAGCCGCGCCGGGGGCCGCCGTGGAGCCCCACATCATCGGCTCTTTTTTGGTCCCAGGTATAGCCTCGTGTTCATCCGCAACGATTTTAGTCTCGCAAACCATTTTGGGAGACGAACAATGCATGCAACTGGCCTGCAGAAAGACGGTCCCGCTACAGTTGTGGAGTGTGGTGGTGGTGGTGGTGGATGGGGTGAGGATGGATGATGCGTAAAAAGAGTCTCCTAAAAACAGTGAGAGGATGATGGAGAGGGGAGGGATAAGACGGAGGAGGGGGGATGTTCTGCTGCAACCCTGAGCGATTCTGAAGACCCAAGACTTTCCGGCGCGATCCGGGCCGGTTTTATAAGCGCGCAGGGGCGGGTATAGACGCGGGTTCAGGGGTTGGGGAGGTCCTCCCGCCCACTCAGATTGGATGCCGGCGGCCGAGGGAGGAGGGCGGTGATGAGGGACGAGAACAAGCTGGTGTGTGCTGCGCGAAGGATGTATTTCGAGAAAGTGGGCTCATGAGGAGGGGTGAGATGGTGATGCGCAGAGAGGCTGGTTTTTCTTCAGAGGCGCCACCAGGGGGGGCTTGGGGGTGTCTTTAGTCATCAAATAAATATTTAAAATACATTATATCCTTAAGTAATTTAAAAAAAAAAAATTAAATCCCTAATCAAATAATTACGAATGAAAAATTTTAGTTAAAAGTTAAATATAGTTAAAATGCATTGTTTCAGTGTTGAAATAATTAGTCATGTGAAAGCACATCTTGAATTTATCTCGTCTTTTAGCCTTACGATGTAAAAATATGTCAATAGCAGCCAATAAAATGTTCAATCAAATGTTTGGATCACTTTGACTAGAAATAATTTATCAAAACTGCCATAATCAAACAAATCTAATAAGAAAAAATAATTTGTAAAAGCAATGTTTATCTAAAATTTTAGACAACTCTTTAAGAAAGATGTCAAATAAATACCACATATTTGCATAAATGTGTCAACTTATTGAATATTCAAATAATTAAATATGCACATTATTAATTCAGTCTTGAATTTTTATTGTGTTTAAGTCATAACATGATACCTTATAATTAGTATTAAGGACCAAGTGTATTAGTGCCATAATTCAATACACAAATTACTTGATAATTATATTGATATATGTTCAATAAACTTGACAATACCTGAATTAATTTAATAGATTTATGCATCTATATTATCTATGATTGTCAACAATTTTCTAAACTACTTTAGTAATTAACTGTAGGTCTTTAATTAAAAATGTAAACCTTTTCAAAGTCATGATTTATTTAATCTGTCAGCTGTACTCATCAGTGGGCGGGTCTAACACTACAGTGGACAATGTGATTGGTCTGCAGATAAACTGCTGTGCAGGTCAACCAATCAGATGTTTGGCTCCGTCTGATGAGACAGACTGTCACTTTTGATGATTTCCTGATGGACCATATCAGAAAATATGAAATAAATAAATAAAATGGTAAGTTTAACACATAATAAATTACAGCTTAAATAATAGTTTACATATTCATATAAAAATATATCAATATGTTTATTTTTTCCATATTTATTCAGTTTAATATAAAACTGAATAAAACGGTTCAGTAATTAACTTTAAATTACAAAAATAAATATTTTTATAAATAAAAAAATACATTTGTATTTTATACATTTTGTAAATCTTTATTTATCAATGTTTTTTTTAAATAAATGCTTGGCATTTAAGTTAGAAAAGTACACGCTTTGCAGTATTTATATATGTAGTTTTTTTGCAAGACATCCTCTTGCAGCTGTTATTTATTTTATGAAATGGGGAGAAGTCAATATCAGTTTAAGAAGTACTGATCAATACATGGACAGAAAATATTAGATTCTCTAAACACAATTGATGCTATTTTACAGAATCTAAGTTTACAGCAGAATAACTAACCCCAGATTTGACCAACAGAGATTTTGCTTCAGTCCTGGGTGTTTCTGCTTCCTGCCGCCCTCCCAGGTCATTCTGCCCTGGGCGTAAAGCCCCGTCGCTGCGGAATCAGAGGCTGACGTTTTGTGTGATGCAGACAGGAGGCGAGCTGCATCACAGCCGGATCGACTGCAGACCATTCGAAACAAGAATTGTTTTACAATGTCAGCGTTCTTTAGAGGAACTGAAATACAGATGAAATATTCTTGTTTTGTGTTACACACAGCTGCCCTTGTGTGATTTCTTTAAATCCATATCAGAGCAGGAGTTGTCCACAGAACGAGCCCCGAGGAGGCTGGCTGTGCGAGCCAGACTCACAATGGGGCTGTGAGTGACAGCTCTGCTGCACTGCAGTGATCCCTCCGTCTCTCCAGCCCGCCGCGCCACCCTGCTTCTGCCAGAAATCTCTCCCTACACGGAGATTATCTTCGCCTTGCTGCCCCATCCATTAGTATCTATTGAACATTGGTTGCAAATTAATAACCCACAGCTTTTTTTTCTTTTTCTTTTTTTTTTTTTTTTGAGGGGACGGGGGTTGGGTTGATGATGATGATGATGATGATGATGCCGGAGCTGCTTCTTTGTTGTCTCCTGTCGCATGCTCGGCGGTGTTTAACCGCTACCGGTGCAGCTCACTCGGACGAATCATTAATATTGCATTGATTGTTGTTCGATTACTGAAGTTGTTTATTGATCTGAATTCACATTTACATCAATTTATGACGCACGCACAGAGATTAAGGAAGGAAGGAAGGAAGAGGACTGGAAAACCGAAAGGCTTGCTGGTTTGCGTAAAGTCAAAGTGCAGATCTCTCCCTGTGCGATTCTGCCCTCTGTCTGCAGCATTTAAAGTGGAACTGCAGATCTCCTCGCAGGCTAATAAAGCAGAACTAGTTTGAACTGGATCAGAACTAGTTTTCTATTGATGAGGCTGCATCTTTCTCTCCGCCTCTTTCTCTTCTCCCTCCTCCTCTCCTCCTCTCCCTCCTCCTCCTCAGTGAGCAGCAGGAGGAAGAGGAGGAGAAGGCTCAGGCAGACATCCTGCAGAAATCCTCATACCGTTGACTCAGCGTGAACATTTTCTCCTCTAAAAAATACCTAAGAAGATGTTCTTTTTTTCTTTTTTTTTTCCATTAGATCGGTACATCATCTACAGCAGATTCGACCGGCTGCAGGACGCTCTGAGCATGCTCAGTGGTGCCTGCCCGGTTAGAGTGGAGCTTTTATGTGCTGCCAGTAATGTAGCAACACGAGGCTAGTGTGCATGATGGATGGGAAGGTTGTAAACACTCCTAGTGATGACACAAAAACCAGGCAATAAATGTTACATTTAATTTCATAACTGTAATTTTTGCCACTCACTCCAGCTGTATGCCTTGATTGCAGGGAGAAAGAAATATTCCCTTTCCCCTTAAAATCGACTTTATTCTTTGAGATTAAAGTCGGTTTTTGATGTCAAACCAAAACGTTTAAATCAGCAAATATCCTGCCAGTTATTCACAGCAGGGAAAGTAAGTTTTGGACACATCTGTTTACATGTAATTCGCCCCACATGTCTGTTATAATCCAGGTAATCCATGCATACACAGGAATGGAAAAATAATCCTTCAGTTACCTGGAATAACAAGGGAAGATATTAAATAAGTTTTGAATGTAAGTTTTTTCAATACTTGGTAGGAAAGTTTGTGCTGATAGCTTTAAGACATCTCCTGTTTGGAAGAACTAGTTTTACAAATGACTCAGGTGAGCTCCTGACCCATTTTGACCCACAGTTTGCCTTCATATCTTGAAGGTTTTGGAAGCGTCTTCTATAAACTCTGATCTTAGATCTCTGATGGATTCAAGCCGTCTGATCAGTGCTTTTCTCCTGAAGAGAAAATATTAAGAATTCATGGATTTTTTTGAATTTTTTTTTCCTTCTTTTTTTTTTTACCATATTTGTAGCAATAAGTTAAAAATATAAATCCTACAATGCGTGCCGTGGCTTGTCGTGCGACAGCCGTACTTTGGGCTTGTTTGAGTCCCTGTTAGTCGCGAGTCGGAAGATGAAGTTGGGATGCCACTGATTCAGCCGACATTTAGGTGACGTATTTCACAGGAAGTTACAGAGATCTGATGCAAAAGCTTAGCAGGTTGTGAATCATTTAAGCTCAAGCAAAGTGGGGGTCTCTGCTAACGATATATTTGGGTTTCCTCAGCCGACTGATTTCAGGATGACAGAAAAACTTTATGTTAGAAGTGGAAGTTGTGGGGATTTTCAGAGGAGCGTTGTGAATTACACTCAGCATAGGATGTTTTCCAAACTTCTTTAATGAAAAAACTCAGAGAAAACTCTCAGCTGCTTTCTTTTAGTGTAAACATAGACATCCGAATTAAGGAGTTTTATATGACCATCGTCTCAAACCCGTTAAAAAAATAAACTGCTTTACTTTTTGCAGATGATGTAGTTCTGTTCACAGCTGGGATGAGAGTCTGCTGTCTTTGGCTCAAGGCGAGGAACGTAAGTATCTCTGCATCTTGTTCAGGAGGAATGGCAGAATGGAGGAGATCGGTGGACCATTTGGACTCTTGTTGGCTGTAATTTGTCACTACTCCAGTCTGTTGTGATGAAGGAAAGTTGAGATAAAAATGGAAGTTGTCTATTTACCGGCCTGTCTAGGTTCTAACCCTCATGTGGTCATGATGTTCTGGATCAAGACCGACAAAAACTAGTTTCCTCTGAAAGTTGGGGTGAGAGTAGAGCTGCTGCTCCTCTGTTGATGTGGCTCAAATATCAGACCAGAAAATCTCCTGGCCGGTCTCACTTAGAGGAGACCGAGGAAGACCCAGAAGTCTTTGGAGGGACTTTACTCTCCTTATGGCCCATTGAATCCCCCATGAAGGGTGTGGCTGGTTAGAAGTAAATCTGGGCCTCTCTTCTGCATCCGTTACCTCAGCAACCCAATCTCAGATTAGTGGAAAACAACCAGTGGGATAGATGGACACCAAAATGTGTATGAATTAGCAGAGCAGCTGTGTGAAAGCCAAAAGAACTGAATAATGATGCTGGTAAGATGAGTGGATGTAGTTGGGGAAGCTGCTGAAGGAACCAAACACACACAGCGTCTCCACTCAGGACGGCTGTAGAGGTTGATGGTTTTATTAAACAGAGATTTAAAACCGCTTCAGAGTTTGAGTGTGTGCATGCCTGTGCGTAAGCCCTGTAATAGACTGCTGTCCTGTTCAGAGTGTACCAAGAAAATATGTTTTGGCTGTTTTCCATCTTTCTTGCGACAATGCCTCATAGTGTTAATTAATTTATCCATTTATTCGCCACATCTACAAGGAAAACACATCTGAGGGTTGAAAATGTGAAAAGTTGAGCAGGTTGGTTGTGCTCACGAAGAACGACGACGATGTGTGATGGTATTTCCCTTATAGCCTCGTCGTCTTGATTGAAGTGCAGAGGAAAATACAAAGCTGACATTCTGCAACCAGTGGCAATCCCATATCTTAGATCTGCCCTTCGAGATGTCAGCGCCCCCCACAGAGCGGGTTTTTATCAAAGATGCCCCTGGCGTGTGGGAACGGACAAAATAAATGGCTGCCTGCGGCTCAGTTGTGAACATACTGTTTAAACTGGAGGGCAGAGCCGGCCCAAGGTGTGTGAGAGTTGTTTAGGGAGAGAGCACCGGACGGATGCAAGAGTCACAGCTTTAACACTAAAGTGATAATCTATATTTGGTGACACAGTTCAGGATCATCACCCGGTTGTGGTGTACACTCATAGTTTCTTTCATTTATCAGTTTTTTATAACTTGGGCTGGAAGGAAATGTAAAAAATAAAAATAAAAAACTTAATTGGGGTGCAGCTGATTGTTTTTTTTATTGTCGTTTAGCTTTCAGACCGCCCCCTGACGCTTTGACGCCCTGGGGAAGTGCCTTAAACTTGGTCTTACTTAAATAATTAGTTGAAATCTAAATAATGATGCCCTTAAAGCGCTTTCTAATGACCATTTCTGCAGTTATATTGTGAGCTTAACAACTCGGTTTGTCCCGCTCAGCGACTCTGCCTGGGTTTCCCTGGGATTTGCTGTGAGAAGCTCTGCAACAGAACAATGAGTGGACGCCTCTGTGGTTCGGTGAGAGCCGTCCTGAACTGAGATGAAGGGTGGATTAAAAGGGACTGGAAGTATTGAGAATTTTGCTCCGGAGACTTTCTGACAGCTGGTTGTCGATGCAGTCAGATTCTCCAGGAGAATATGAAAGAGAAGTTGGACTGGGGGAAGAAGTTACCGAGTTTAAACCCCCACCTGCCCCGGCAGGTTGGAGCTGCCTCAACAGGAGCAGCAGAGGAGCCTGCCAGGTCACTGCAGGCTCCTCACCGGGGCTCCTCGGCGTTTCCCTGCCTGTGTCTGTATACAGAGTCTCGCCCTGGCTGCTTTCGGAGCCAGCTTCCACACACCAGGAAGCAAGAGAGTGGCGCAGTGCTGCGACACAGCTGCCCGCCTGCCTGGACTCGGAGCGCCTCCTGCTGGTGCAGATAAGAGCCTAACAGCCGTGATGGATTGTGTTTTCTGTTTTCCTTTTCCTCCTGGTGGTAATCACGGCTGTAAATAATATTTTTTTTTTTAAAAGATGTTTGTATGTGTGTCTAGGAAGACATGAGGTAAGCAGAACCAGCGTTAAGTTTACTTTTGTTGCCTCACAGGACAAATAAACCCAGATCTAAAGAGGCGCCAGGGTTCAGAACGTTCTAAAACATTTTTTTTATTTGTTTGGCGGAATGGCAAAAGAAATCCTCAACTTTCTTCACATTGTTCCTTTGACTTATTTTTCATGTTACAACCACAAACGTCAATGCAATTAACTAGAGTTATGTGGTACTAACATGAAGTGGGTCATAATTATAAATTAGAAATGTGTGACATTCAAATGTTTGGAACCATCTCTACCCCGATACCCCTAAATAAAACCCAGTGTGAGCGTTTCTGTTTCCTCTTCCTTAGTTATTGTAACGTCTTCTGGTCGAGAAGAAGTTAATCCTGGATATAAAACTATGTTCCCACACAAACATCAACGTGGCTCTCAAAGCTGCAGTTATTTATATTGCTTGTACCTTTTTCCTTCCTCTCAACTTTCTATTAAGATGCTTGAAAAAAAGCACTCTGATTCTAAAAGGTGTCAGCGACCGTCTTCTCCAGGTTTGAGTAGGCCACAACTTTTTCCTGAGATCACATTTTGTATCGATAGTTTGGAATATTCAGACCTTCAGAGAAACATTTTGGGTTTGTCCTGATTAATTAACAGGAATAAAGTCTTAAAACGCATCATTCTGTGTGTGATGACTAATTGCAGTGAATTTACTTTTATCCTCATGTATTAATGAATAACTGAAATTTGGTGATGCTTACTGCAGGAAATACTTGATGAACAGCAAAAAGCTTTTGGTTTATTTCACCATATAATCATACTTTTTGTTGGTTTTAAGCATTTGCTGCACCACAGCTGCTTCCTTTTCCAGTGGCACTAACATAAATTGTTGCGTTTATTCATGAAAGCAGTCACAAATCTATATTTTCTCTCTTTTATTACAGGTCAGCCCTCGCCTCCCACAAGAAGACAAAGAAAAAGGAGCAAAGACGGTTGTTTGGTGAATTTATTTATAGGTACAACATTAACACTGTAAGTGGAGCCTCTCGTGACTTGCAAAGTACATTGTTAATGAAACGGTAAGATGGTTTTCTGTTCCCTGCTGCAGTTCTCTTCATCCCCTCCTCCGCCTCCCTGCTGACGCCGCAGCTCATCCGATCCCGCCCGCCTCATCACTTTTTCCTGCAGACGCCTCGAAATCGGGGCCGAGCGCCGCAGACGTACGCCGAAGCGCGTTCACACCGTTTACACACACCAACCTTTACCACGTGAAACGAAAGTGCTATAAATTCATGCTACAGTGCTGTGCTAAACCAAGACCTACGAGTGTTCTTGCTAAAAGTACCTTCACAGAAACAAAAACGTCTCCACGGCTGACCGTGGAGGAAACAGAACTTTCCTTTGTAAGTGACCCATCCGCTCCCACAGGCTCTGAGTCGGCTAATTACAATTATTTAAATTACAGTCAGATTGTTCTCGTTGTCTTAAATTACTATGTCAAACTGCCATTATTGTGAGCAGTTAAATAAACTCTGATGCTACAGTTCGAAGTGTAAACAGTGACCTCATACAACACAATCATATACAGATGCATCCTACTGCGTCTACGTTTTACAGTCAGTTACTAGAAAGTAGAAAAAACGTGTTTATGCTTCGACGAGGGAAATTCAGAGATGTGGGGATTCGCAAACGTTGCTGTCAGCGTCTTAAATGAGGCAAAAAACAAACAAAGAAACAATGACGCCCCCTGTGGTGGAAATCAGAGCTGCATCCAAATGAGATGAAAACAAATCATATAAAGTGCCTGTCGTTCAGAGAAGTTCAGATGGGAGTTTCTGTACACGTGTAGAGGTTGGAGACGGATCGTTGTCAGCGCGGCTCAGCGCAGCGTGGTGGTGGGCATGCAGTCGCACAGAGCCCTCCTCTCGGCCCGCAGCACCAGAGTCTCCGTCTGCAACAGGAAGCAGTCCAGTGTGAGAGACGTCAGATATCCGATTTGCCTTCAGACGACATCTGTGAGATGCCTTAATACGATTGTTTGGATGGTGACTGCCCAAAGAAAAACAGTTCTGGTGAGAAGTTTCCATAAACTCATTATCTGAATTAGTCTTCGTCCTAATTTGGACATTTTAATAATGCGATTCCAATTTTCCAGCAGTGGATTGATTATTAATCTGCAAAGGTGCAACATTAAAAAGCCAAGAATAATGGATATTTTCTGATTTGAGTTCTAACAACTAAGTAGGGATGAGCAATATGGACTTTAAGTTTTATCACATTTTGTAGTATTGTGATAACAAAAGTGACAATAAGATCTAGTTATTGCTTCCCTTTTAATTACCGTATTTTTCACACTATATATAAGTGCGCACCTTCAATGAATGACCTATTTTAAAACTTTATCCATATATAAGGCGCACAGAATAGACGCTACAGTTAGGGTTGCCACCCGTATTGAACCTATGTTGTGATTTGTTCCGTACTCTACAAATGTGGATGTGTAATAATAAAGAAGAGGTCCCAGAGTAATTTATATAGTAGGCTGCCCCAGTCATTGTTTCACTCACGGTGTTGGTGTTGTGATATTGTGCCCAACTGCTTTCTGGGTAACACCGACACGCTGCCGCTGCAGTCTCTGTCTCTCTTCCCCCCCGGCTTTAAATGTATAGGGGCTGGTCCCTTGGTAACCCTAGTCGAAGCACCCCGGATGAATGTCTAAAGCCACTTTGTTGACATAAAGAATGTCAACAAAACACTCCGACTCCGGTCAGCGAGGAGAGCCTTCTGCACCGGGGCGTGGCCGGACGATGGTCACCCTTCTCCGTTCGCACACAGCATGTTCGTGGAGAATGTGGTGCTAAATGACCTGCAGACGACCTGATTATAGACGGTCGGTAGGTAGACAGGTCAGTCAAACTTTATTAACAAACCAGCGTTCTGACAGCTATCCCAGCATGCACCGCGCGTTTCTTCTACGGGCGAAAATGAAGTCGGCAGCTGCTTACCGTAGTTGCTAGACCTGCTGTGGCTCAATATTGGTCCATATATAAGGCGCACCGGATTATAAGGCGCACTGTCGGCTTTTGAGGAAATTGAAGGTTTTTAGGTGGGCCTGTGCGAAAAATACGGTAACTACATGGTTGTGACTGCATGACACAACAAATATAGCACCACAAGCACAAATCCTGCTCTTGAAAAACATGATTAATACGGTTCTTTATGACACCAGATGGATAAAAAAGTGTGACTTAAATCACTAAACGGCACATTCTAACTGCATTTGATCATAATTTCAAATTTATTGGTATTTTTTGGTGCTTTCATTGAACAAACAATGGAGAAAATAGTAAAAAAAAAATAACAAAATTAACTAATATGGACAGTTTTTTTAAGCATAATTAATTGTATGAGAATGATAAATCAAAATTATCAAGAAATTCATCTCAATAAAAGATAAATGATATGAAAGTCAGGTTGGACTCATCAAACTCAAGAGGGAAGAGTGATCATTTAGTTGGGCTTTTAATGACTTGATATGTCGTCTAGTTTCAGTATTTGCTGCATTAAATATATTCTAACAATCTCAGACATGAAGCTTTAAATGTTTGTTTTCTACTCACTGAAAAGTGGCAGCAGCTCCACTGGTTGTACCTATGTTATAATGTCTCATTCATTTATTTTAAAGATCAATATTATCTCTCTTGTAGCTGACATGAAGCACACCTTTATTATTATTATTTTTTTTGTCAAACGTAAATGTTTTGGATCATCTGAGTAGACACAAAAAGCCACTTTTAAATAATGATTTCATTTATTAAGAGAGAGGAAAAAAAGCTCCCCAATCCAAACTGGCCTTTTGTGAAAATATAATTGCCTTCCTTGTGTTAATTAACTGTGAACAGACACAGTTTTGGTTAAACCTGTCAACACCCAGATCTGACAGGTAAAACCAAGTAATCACTTAGAACTCATCTGACAACATGAAGCAGGCTTAAAGGATCTCAAAAATTTGTGAACCAAAGTAAATTAAATTTGCAATTATGATATTAAAATCAGCTTGACGAGCAAAAGCACGATAAATCTTTAAGACGAAAAACCGTTTTTGTGCCTTATTTTGATTCATAAACTGACCCTATAAACTCTTCAGACCGTTGTTAAAATGTAAAACTTTCAGCAGGAATTCAGTCAAGCGCTCTACTTACAACACCCACAAGGTAAAGCAAAAAGATTTACAAAAAGATGATGTTCATGCTGTAATATTCTGAGCGGATTAAAAGTTCCCCTGACCCTGGCATCAAGGTTAAAAGCCGTCTTCTTCAGATCTTGCAGCGCCCTCTGCATGAACTCAAAGGCATGGCAGTCAACGCATGGACGACCTGCAAGCACAAAGTGTTAAGAAATGGAACAAGTTTAGCTTTTTTTTTATTATTATTATTATTTATTTATCTACATCAACAGGCGTAAGTAATGTTAGTACAGAATAAGGTCAGCAGGTCCAATATGAGACAAAGCAGTGATCTAATAAACTGCAACAAGAGGCAAATTTAACGGAAAATGGACACAAATTTTAAATTGTACTGAATAAAACTGGTTCGAAAATATTGGTTAGTTGTCACTAAAAGTGTTCAGCCTTTGTCTTGAATTCAGTTTCCATCTTCACGCGGAGTTACAATTGTATGTTTGTTTGTTTTTTTGTCATCTTTGGTTTTATTTTTAAACCCTCGGGAGACAAAATGATCGCATTCATTACAAAGAATGACCCATAATTTACACTGTCCGTGGGATGCGGAATCATTAGCGGGTGAAAAACATCACGAAGGCAGACATATTTCCACCTCTTTCAGCGTTTCACGTTTTATTTAATTTTTTTTTTAATCCACCTACTTTCGGCAGGGATCACGGTCCCCGTCTCCTGATCCGCCTCAGCGGCTCCGACACAGACGAGCTGGACCGCCAGCAGAACCAGCGCTACCTGCACATATGATCCACTGGACGCCATGGCGAAGGTCCGGTCAGCCTCCTGTTATTTATAGATTACAGGGTGGAAGGAAAAAAAAATCATTTCAGATGAAAAAGCTACGGAGAGCGTAATAAAAAAAAAAGGCCGCCAGTAAATTAAATCACAAAAATATTACGGGCTTTGTTGATCAAATTTTACGCGTTCAGTTCGCAGAACACCGCCTTTATAAATGCGCTATATACAGAATTATTGCGGCTTACTCCGGAGTTTTTATATTGAATTACCTTCAATGAGCCGAGGATGCTTTTTTTTTTACCCACTTGATCAGCCTTAAAATGCCTACCGAGCAATGATTTATATAGATCAGCGAAGTGCGCATGCGCCGATGGATACCTGAAAACAGCTTTTGCAGAACAGAGTTAAAACTTCCGGTGGCAGCATTCAAAATAAAGCCTTAGGGGGGAAAAAATAGGGAAATATGTTGTGCATCAGTCAAATCAAATTATACATTTGTGAAATTCTACTTATTCTTATATATTAATTATATACAAATAAAATTATAGCTATATATAATTAATATATCATAATGTATACTATAATTATAACAAATTCTAAATTTAGATAGAATTTGAGTTTTGCTTTTGTGCCTTGTTCTAAAACACTTAGTGATTTATAACTTGAAAGGTGCTATATAAATATATATTGGTATTTTGTTACAAACCGACATAAAATCACAGTATAAAGAAAACTATTCATTGATATATTTTTAAATATTTGCAAAAAAAATATCTAAAATGTGCACAATTATTACGCAAGTTGAAGTTTTCAGAATTCATTTTATTGTTGAACAACTACAGCGGTCTCGGTCAACCCACCTCTCAAACCTGAACATATAAGAAAGTTAAAGTTAGAGTTAGGCTTTTTTAGAACAACATCTATGTGTGCACGATTATTGGGGAACTATTGGTGTGAAGAATTGTTATGCAACTGTATTCAAACTGAAAATGTTCCCATCTCACTTGTTTATCGTCATCCATTAAAGTGAGAATAATAGACATACAACTTTAAATTGACAAACATTTCTGACATTTAAAAAAAAAAATCTGTCGGTTTATTCATTAAAAAAAAAACAATAAACCGACAGACTTCCATTCATGGAGTCTGTCGGTTTCTGTTGACTATCAACTTCATTATTCTTTCATCTTCAAGGCTTGGGCTTTGCAGTCCTCCATATCGTCCTGCATAAAATTTTTTTCTAAAAAAAAAAAAGTGTCTTCTAAAAACTGGCAGCAGTTTTTGGGAGTTGATTTTGAGTCCATCTTCAACCTGAAAAGGCCCAACTAGCTCATCTTTTGTAATGCTCGCCCATACCAATACCCCGCCTCCACCATGCTGGTGTCTGACGCGAAGTGGAGCTGCCTAATAATTATGCACACCTTGATATAGGGTGTTGATCTCCTTAGGCCCCGCCTTCCCTCATTAAACAAATACACATCAGCCGATATGTTTATTTTCAGTAAGCATTCAAGTGTATACCGCTTGGAGTTTGCATAAAAATGAAGATATGGTCCAAACTAAAACTTGCCCGCACGCAGTGTACAGTATACTTTTGTATTTCGCTCCCCTTTGTCGAACCACCAAGTTGTGCAAACGTAGAATTCAAAAAGCCAATTAAAACTGACCTTTTAAAACGCAAAGAAAAAGACAGCAGGGATAAACTGCTTTCCTTCCTACTTTTCATAGTTTTGTTTATATACGTCGCCCGGACTGGAGTGGGCGGGGTCCTGACTGCTGTTTTTCTTAGGTAGCCTGTTAAAATGCCCGAACTCAAAACACTTCTTTTTCCAAGATGGCGTCGATGAAGGACAGCGACACCGGCCTGTGGCTTCACAACAAACTAGGATCCACGGACGAGCTGTGGACGCCTCCGAGCATCGCCTCCCTTCTCACCGTGTCAGTAATCGACAATATACGGTTATGTTTTTCGAGCCTGTCGCCGCCGGTGAAGCTCAAACTGCTGCTCGGGATGCTGCATCTTCCCAGGCGGACCGTTGACGAGGTGGGTCGCGGAGCTTCAGTTAACTTACTCTCGACGGCGTAGAAGTGAGGGGCGCAGGTAAAAACCCGTTTATATCCAGGAGAGGAGCTCCGTTCGCAGATGGCTGAACCCAAATCACAACGCGGCGGAGGAGTTTGCTTTCTAATTGAGAGCTAAAGCTAAAACTGTTGTTAACCGCTAACAGGTCGAGCTAACTTTCGAAGCAGCAGACTGATTCTTTATGCAAATCACCGAGGCGTTTCTACCGCCGTTCCCATGTAATATTAAAACAACGCGAACGGCGGGCTGCTCCGTGACCAAATTAGCTACGCAGAAAGTCTGGATTTCTCCGCAGAAACTCTGCAGCTTACGCGGGCAACATTAGCCTGGCGGCTTCCTGCAGACATTGTGGTGGATGAGGGGCAGACGCAGGATCTGGCTGCGCTGGAGGGCGGTACCAAATCCCGGCCCGACATATCAGCTTTCAGCTGCGCAGAATGCAGCTTTAGGTCATCTTGTTAGACACGCAGAAGCCCCGAACCAGAACCTGCTTTTATTAGTTCTTTATGCCTCATTTGTCTAGATGCCAACTCTAGTTGGGTCTACAGTTTAAGACGAGCAAGAAACGATGCTAAAGGTCACAAAGTTAAAAGTAATCACTAAAATAACATTACCAAGCTTTACAATACATTTGAAAAATGAATTTTTAAAACGTAAATAATTTTATCAATAAGTTAAATAAATGAATACCAATATTAATTGGTTAAATGAAATTAAGTTAAGTAGATCGTGGTATTAATGACAATAAATTACATTCACACTCAAATTATTTTGGCTAAACTAGCATTGTTTGTAGGGTTTCATATTTTAATCTGCTTGCAATTTGGAAATCACCTTGTTTATGTTAGAACATTTAATGTTTTAAAGAGTTAAAAAAAAATTCATTGATTCAAATACCTTCGTGACAACCTGCTGATTGCAATTAAAATCTATACTTTGCCAAAAGAAATGTACAACAATGTCTCGTTCCTCAAGCTTAAGAGTTTTTATGTCTTAATGCAATTATTGATTGTGTTTTTGACCAATATTTCCCATTAGTTTGTCAGTTTCTCTGAGGAGGAATATAAAGAAATGAGAGGTGACTCAAGTATTGTCACAGCTCTGTAACAGAGCAGTATTACTTGTCAGAAAGGAAAAATCAATCGACTACACACCAAAAACCATTCTTTATCTTTTAGCATCTTTGACGACTGAAGCATCCATTTGTTGCTCCTCCCCTCCATGTTTGCGTGTTCTTCATCATCTTCTAAACTTTACTTTCTGCACACCAGGACAAGTAGACCAGCATATTTAATCAACATGAAATTAAAATTCTGACAGTTGCCATCAGTAGTGACTTATTATTATAACTTCCTTCTCTTTGAATGCAGCAGCTGTATAGTTTCTGCTGAATCGATCAATATCCACACAGCCCTCATCAAATTCATTCGAAATCGATTTGAATTGAGCCCCAGCTGCGGTAAACAGTCAGCGACTGACCGCTCCCTCCTGTCCCGGCAGATGAAGGAGGCTCTGTCTGAGATAATCCAGCTGGCCACGGTGGATTCAGAGCCCTGGGTGCTGATGGTGGCCGATATCCTCAAGTCCTTCCCGGAGACCGGATCTCTCAACCTGGACTTGGAGGAGCAGAATCCGAATGTGCAGGACATTCTCGGTGAACTCAGGGAGAAAGGTTCGGGAACCGTTTGCCTTCGTTTGACCCAAACTGTTTTAACCAAATGAATGAAGCCGTTTGCTCCCGTCAGTAGTCACAAACACACACCACTCTCTCTCTCTCCAGTGGGCGAGTGCGAGGCATCCGCCATGCTCCCTCTGGAGTGCCAGTACCTGAACAAGAACGCGCTGACCACTCTAGTAGGACCACTCACTCCACCCGTCAAACATTTCCAGCTCAAGAGGAAGCCAAAGAGTGCGACGCTGAGGGCAGAACTGCTTCAGAAATGTACGTCAACCAGGATTTCCCCAAGATCTGACGAGAAATAAAATCTTTGCCCCGTTGTGAAAACGTCTGTAGTAGCGACACGGAAACGTCTTGACGAGTTCAGTTTCTCTTGCAGCAACAGAAACGGCGCAGCAGCTGAAGAAGACAGCTGGAGTGCCTTTTCACGCCAAAGGGAGAGGACTGGTCAAAAAGATTGACACGACAAGTGAGTCATGAAATCACCAACTTCAGTTCGTTTCAGCCTTTTCAAATTCGTTTTTTTTTTTTTACGTTTTGGTTACTAAAGCCTTTCTGTTTGCGTCGCAGCTCCTCTCAAAGGAATCCCCAAGGCCCCGTTTCGCAGCCCCACTGCTCCCAGTTTATTCAGCCCTCCCAGTAACCGCACGCCCATCGCCCCCCCACGGACTCCTCTGCGGAAGGAGAGAGGGGTCAAGGTTGGTAACTCATGACAACGCAGAGCTGCAAAAACTTATTCACACGCAGTCTGGTTCCTCCAGTTTTTGCTGTTTTGTCACTTTTTCTCAGCACTGGATGTTGATTACTTGATTCTGGTATAAAATGATTTTGGGGCTACTCTGTGTTAAAAAAAAATTAAAGTTGTCTTTTCTTTAGCTTTTAGACATTTCAGAGTTGGACATGGTTGGAGCTGGAAGAGAGGCGAAGAGGAGAAGAAAGACTTTGGGTGAGCGTCTTCTCACGTTTCCCCTCCTGTATTAGTTGCAGGCTGTAGATTTCTTCGCGTGTTGATGGGCTGGACGATGTGTTTTCCTGACCACAGAACCAGAAGCTGGAGAAAAAGCAGCCAAAGAGGAGTCGGTGGTGGAGAACACCACACCAGATTACGCTGCTGGCCTCGTCTCTGCTCAGGTATTCCACACACAGATCCGGTTTCCACCGCATAAAACACCTACATCCATCTTTGTCAGCTTTCACTTCTCTAGAATCAAACATCTTTTGTTCTTTTTTTCAGAAACTTGGAGCGCTAAACGAGAATCCCCTGCCCTCTACCAGCTACCTGCCGGCCACGCCCAGCATGGTTCCCTCCTCCTCTTACATTCCCAGCTCCGAGGTGCAGCCAGGTTGGTGAATCGGCTCTCTCCCCCCCCCCCATGTCGCCGACTCCCAGAGTGATTTGTAACAAAAACGTTTTCCAATCCCCCCCCACCCCTCCACAGCCAACGCCGGTGGTTCTGGACGGGACACGCTGCAGGCAGCTCGCCAGCCAGAGGAGTCCACCACAGCAGCGGCCGGCGCCGGCTCCACCTTACCCAACCAGTACAAGCAGCGGACACCCATGTACAACGCCGGCTCCACGGCGAACCCCGCCACGCCCACGTCCCCCAGCACGCCCACCTCCACGCCGGCCAACAACGGGCCGCCAGCGGCCGCAACCGCAAGCCAGCCAGAGACGCCCACCCAGCCCCCCACCACCCCTCAGACCCCTACGCCGACACCAGCACCTACGCCAGCACAACCCCAACCCAAAAAGAACCTCTCACTCACGGTATGGAGAAGGGGTGGGACCCTGGAGGTTTAGAGTCGGAATGATTTAGGAAGACGTGTTGCTGAATCTCTTCTGTTTCCGCTCCTCAGAGAGACCAGATGTACGCTGCTCAGGAGATGTTCAAGACCGCAAACAAGGTCACCAGGCCAGAGAAGGCTCTCATTCTGGGGTTCATGGCTGGATCCAGAGGTAAGACGACCAGCTCCACCTGTCTTTTTAAGACCATTCGCATCAAATATTGCTGAGGCCTTTGAAGATGAGCCTTGGCGCCATAACTGCATCAGCCTTGAGTCATAATTTAATTCCTGAGCTCTTGTACTTCCTGTTCGGGGCTGAATGTGACCCGTTTTCTGTCTGGATGCCCGTACAGAGAACCCGTGCCCAGAGCAGGGGGACATCATCCAGATCAAGCTGAGCGAGCACACGGAGGTTCTGCCCAAAGCCGACGGCACCGGCAGCACGACCATGCTGGTCGACACGGTCTTCGAAATGAACTATTCGACAGGACAGTGGACCCGCCTCAAGAAATACAAACCCATCACCAACACTTCCTGAAGGGACCCAACACGCTCAAAATCCCCACACCCCAAATTTCACACACACACACTTCACACACAAAAAAACAACACATTTATGTACACAAACATTTGGGCCAAATCAAGCTCGAACAGGTTGTCAAGGAGAGAAAGAATCCTCCCTTTTACCAAAATGGAGACCTTCCTTTTTCCTTCCCTCTTTTATTGTTTGTTTTTAAGTCTGCTACAGTTGTTGAACGATGCCGGTTCAGGATGGGCGACGTTACGGCTGGCACCTTTGAGCGCCGAGGCAAAAACGGTCTGTATTCTGTATAAAAAAAATAATTTTCAGCTTCAGCCCTTCAAGATTGAATGTTTTTCACTAAACGGAGACGTCCTCATTGCAGGCGACGCAAAAAAGAAAAAAAAAAACTTCAGGAGGGTAAATGCCTCTCAATATTGTCAAGTTGTGTTAGGAGCCTTCTGGTTGGTGTTAATTATTTTTCAGCCTTTTTCAAAGGAAGAGAAGAAAATAAAGATACAACAGACTCCATGTTGAGAGCATCTTTCATCATTACTTATCCATCGATTCAGTCCAAGTTGTCAAAATGATTTTTTTTTTTTGATCTGGTTCTAAACTGAATCACGTCAGCGGCTCTCCGCAGTGTTGAAGCGTAAAATGACATTTTGTGGTTTTAAGGTTTTTTTTTACACATAATGTGACATCTATCCTGTACAAGTCAACTAGAAAACAAGAGTGAAATAAAATAACCTTCAATCCATTGGTTGCATTAATAGGTACAACTTTAAAACTGGAAGTTTTACTGAAGTGCCTGCTTGAGTTCATACGTAATGAACCATAAAAACAGTTCAGCTGACTCACTGGTGATTTGCACCATGAAGAAAAACTGTGGTGGTGGTGCCATTTTGGAAGTAATTTTAACTTCATATTAAAGTTAAAATTACTTCCAAAACCTTCAGTTTTGATTTAGAGACCTTTGGATTATCCAGATCAATGTTTGATGCTGAAACTGATTTAAAAGGTGCTTTAAGAAATTACTAGAGTAGAAAATGTATGCAGCCAGCTTCTTAAATATTTTTCCTTCTCTGTGATTGAATTTTTTATTTTTTTGGTTGAACTGTACTGTATTCATGTCACATTAAAGGTGGAACAAGTTTTAAATAATTCATCACAGTCTCGTTTCTTTTGCACCACGAACTTTGACGCTTTAGCGGAGTGTCGACCTTTAAGAGACGCTTCCTTATGAAGCAGCTACACATAAATGAGTCATTTTTTTTCTGGATCTGGGGAAACTGAGAAGTTGAAGCATCTTGCCGTGATCAGACGGATCGAGTTAAATGAAGGAGCGAAACCAAAAAGCGAAGCATTCGTTTACCAATCTTTCCCAGGTCTGATTCATAGTTTCGATAGAAAGAACAAGAGCTCTTCTTTTAAAGCAGTCGGCTGTGGTGGCTCAGGAGGAAAAGGATGGATTTATATTAAATCTACAGTCACACAACTCCAGTCAAGGTAACCATCAACTGTTTGTAGTTGAGCTTTATTTAGATTTATATATATAAATTAGTGGAAGATTTATTAACACAGCGGTGGTGAAAAGCAAAGTCTGCACAGTGCTACAGCTCAACACTCCAACAGTGTTTCCACTCACCTAGAACTTGGTCTGAAAAGGGAAATTGCCTCAAAAGTTGCTACAAGACCTGAACAGGCTTCACTGTTAAAACATGATTTGGTCTGAGGCCGTGCGATGATGTCGATGCTTGAACCGGCTGCAGTCAGCCACAGCTTCCTTCTCACTCTAAAGGCTTAGAGCGTAAATGTTGTTTTTAGGAATTAAATATCAGAAATATGGTTTTAATTACAGTTTAGTGACCGTAGACCACAGTCAGGACCATATTAAGGCTCATTGTTACGATTCCAGTAGATAGTTTATGGGCACTCAATGTGAACATTAATATAATTAATGTTATTTTTGTTTTGTTTTTAGGGCTGTGCTTGTCAGGGCAATTGAAAAACAAAAGAACTGCAAAAAAATTGTTTTAATTTACTGTGGCTTTTCTAAAATCAAAGTACAAAGTTCTCCATACAGGCTCAGAAACATACAAAAAACCAACTTCTCATCAGTAGATGGTTTTAAAAAAAAAAGCAAATAAAATTGGGGATTCAATCATAAAAAAAAAAACCCATCAAACTTCTTACATCAATTTTGGGATCAAATATCCAAGCAGAATTATGACAGGAGCTTGTTGATGCTACAGAAAGCACATAGTTTCTCTCAATGAAATATTATTATGCACATTGCCAATATATTTGAGCCTGTATGTTTAATTTAGTAAATTAGAGGAAATCTCACAATCAAGTCAAACTTGTGGAAGTAATTTTTGTTTTTAAAACTTCATTCAGCCAATAGAAAAAAAAACCAACGTTAGTGCTGACACTTAGTGATCCGAGGACTTTTTATCCCTGTGTTGTAAACGTCAGCATGAAGCGGCACCTTGAATATTCATGATAGTAATAACTCAGTTTTAGATGGGGAATAAGAATCAGCATCAGATTTAAAGTATTTCAGTCAAACCTTCTAGTCAAAACTAGAGAGAAAAATGCTCTAGTTTTAATTCACTAAAACGAGAAACTTTCTCATCTGATGAAGATTGTGCTATTATTATTTCTCTGCTTTCTGCTTGTTTTTTTTTTTTAGTTTCTCATGTTAACACTTAATTAGCATCACCTTCACCAACATACATCAACATCTGCATTTCATTCCTCTGGTTCGTTAGATCCTCCAGTTTAATCTCTATAATGCACTTTGGTCAATGATGAAGTTACTGTTTCGATAGAATTGAATTTTATGTCTAAGCTGTTTAGACCCTAGAATGAGGATTTCGTAGTATCGACCGTACAAGCTGCTCTTATAAAAACAAGCCAGATGTGACAAAAAAAAACTGGTCCCCGGTGAAAATGTGAATGATCCGACGCGTCCGAGATAAAAAACATCAAACTGAAACGAGTTTTTCCTTATTAGTACCAGACTTGCTCGTCTAGCACACAGGTCGTGTGCGGTCGGTCGCGTGCTGCAGCGGTGCGACGAGGCAGAACGAGGAGACGGCAGCTCTCTCATCAACGCACCGTCAGTCCGTAGGCAGGAGGGGCTTCACTTCGCTCCGGGGTCCCTCCATCCTCCGAAGGCCTTCTCCAGGTAGAGGGCCACAGCCAGGGTCAGGTGGTCCTGCAGCTTCCCGGCCACGACCTGCACGCCCAGAGGAAGGCCCTCCTCACCAAGCCCCAGAGGACACTGGGTAACCGGCAGCCCCAGGATGTTCAGGATACCTGGAGATAGACAGTCGGACATAACGATTAATGGGTTACGTGTTTGAAATGAAAAAAAAAAAAAAACACATGGCCAAATCCTTCCAGAGTTTTGCTGATGATATTAACAGCTTTGAACTTAACATGCAAAGCTCTCTGCAACATTTACCTATCAGGAAGTGACCTGCAGCTGTAAACTGTGACTTTATTGTCTTTGTGTAGAAAGGAGCGGCCGATGTTTATAGGAGGATCTGGATCCGATTGGCTGCTAATTACTACTGAGCATTGTGCAAGTATTCAATAGTTTGGACCAGAACTCAATTTTTAGAATTCAGTAAGAAGTTCTTTTTTTTATGAGAAGTGGAATGGTGTTAAAAAAATTCACATGATGAGCACAAAAATAAGTGATTTTCTTACCGAATCTATTGTAAAAACAGCATCAAAGTAAGAATACAGAAATTTCTAAAATTCATGTTTTTCAAGCAAATTTGAAAATTATAATGCATTTGTTCCAATTATACCATTTAATCACACGACTCGTCCATTTTTGTTTTTTAGATAAAATGAGTTACAACTTTGAGACTCACAATAGTGAGTTCCTGTCACAATAAGCAATTAATTGCATGATAAATTAACATGAGCTTGATTATTTCCATTCACATAGTACTTCTTGAAGGGCAATTTTGTATACAGAGACATAATCCATTTTGTTTATGGTTTTGTTTGTAAGTGGGGGGGCTATTCCAGTTACAGTGTTAAGTGCTCTCTAAAAATATTTAAATTAACTGGTCGCATTATCAATGCAGTACTTGACAATGGAATCAAAATAACAACATTACCATTTATCGCAATAATTACTGGAACAATTTATCGTCCGGCAAAATTTGTTATTGTGACCAACCTAATTCCACACACGTGTTAAATGACCCAATGATAACATTAACGTATCTCCTGCTAAGCCATACAGGGGCTCGGTCTGCACTGATGAAGATTCACTCAGCTTTCTGATTAATTCAGACGATAATCATTTCCTTCTAAATTAAACTTCTGAGCTCCTCACTGTCATTTGATCCTTAAGAACAAGAAGAATAAAGCATCAGAGCAAAAGTAATGCGTCTTATCCTGACCGGCTGAACGCTGAACTTTACACCCTTAATCCCGACACACACACTCAATACACAGCAGTTGTACATTGAGCCTGACACATACTTTAAAAAAACAAGACTTGATGTTCCACACTTCATTTCCTCAAATCTAGGTGACGTGTTTTCAGATAACATAGAGACAGCAGCGTTAGCTTTATTTGCTGCAACCAAACCTTAAATCGGCACTGGTCGATTCTGAGGGATCGGCTCGATCACTGACCCGTGTAGGCAAAGTCAAAGGGTCTGAAGAGCGGGTGGTGGTGCTTGGGTGCCACTCGGGGGTGAGGCGGGTAAAGCAACACCCCATCGGTGCCCAGCAGCTCTTCCATCTTCTTCTGCAGCGCCTCCTTCTGCTGGATGATGAAAGGCGACGACATGGACAGGTGGGTCTTCTCGAAGAGGGCCAGCACTAAAACCCGATTGCACAATGCACACATTTCTCATGAACCATGATAACAGTGATGTAAATGAGTGCCAGGCCTTTTTTTTCCCCATCTGTCCTCTTCTTACAGATAGCAGGTATGGTGTGCTCGGATTTTCCCACCATCCGTTTGAGCAGCTCCCAGAACGCCCACGCCGGTCGACCCGGCTCCCCCATCAGCTCCGCGAAGGCCAAAGGAGGCTGGAGGGGGAGGAAAACATTTGCTCCTGTTTTTAAAATCATAGCGGAGATTTGGTTTTATATTTCCTTAGCTCTGGATTTCTACAAAACCCTCAATCCCTCAAAATCCCATGCAGGTTTTAATGTTGTTCTTAAAACACACACTTTAAACTCACAAAGGGAACCAATAAGATGCTGCTTTATGTGCTGCAAACAGTGAGGTTGTAAATGAGTTATGGTATGGACTTAATAACTTATCAGATTATCAGATGCACTGTGAACTCCACAGAGAAGGGCGTGTAAACCGTTTGGACAGTGAAGACTCAACTCTGGTTGCATTAAATAAGTCAAATTGAAATGCTGAAGCGGTGATTGGTGTAGGACGTCGGGTCGACGTCGCGGCGATGTTGAAATGAGTCCAGGTTCAGTTGTGGTATGCAGTCTGCCGCCAACTAAACAGATTAGCTGCATTTCTGGGCTGCAGACTACAATAGGTGCTGTGGCTAATTCTCACAAAGCTTTCTGACGCTCTGATACATAAACCTTCGTATGTTTGTGACAAATTCAAACCAAAACATCCCCATGGTGGACTCAGTTCTAAAGTTAAAGACAGTTTTAGGGGAACAGGGATGCTACTTGTTGTTCATCTCCACATCCAATCCTTTGCATTTACAAACATGGACGAAAAAGTTGGAAAATACATTTTCATATTCTGTTTCCTTTTCTTTTTTTCTTTGCTCTCTCTCTTAAAACTCCACTGTCGCTGAAAGTTTCTCTAAATTTACATAAAAACTTTTTCCTTCTCTCCATCCACAAAGTATTTATGTGTCTTTCTGCTTATTTCCCTTTCATACTGACAAGTTCAATCTATATCTATAGATTAGTTTAAATAAGCTAAACATTTCAATGACTCAAGAGTTGCTCTTCACTGTAAACATGAACAGCTGGAGGATTGATCCGGCTCACAGCGCGGTGCAGAACGTTCTGCGGCTGGACGAAAACACTTTACTCTCTTCTCATCTCGCTCATCAGTGCAGCAGCTACATTATTGTTTCTTAATCTTACCGATTTACTAATTCAGAAACCAGTTCAGGAAAAGGTACGCTTGTGTTAAGCTGGACAAAAGAACTTGAACAAGGATCTCAAAACCTAAAAGTCAGATTAAAAAAATAAAAAAGAAGAAATTGTCTTTATAACTGTCAAAACAGGCACTAAAGGATGTAATTGGTCATTTTTTTGGTTACTATAAAAATCATAACCGTTTATCCTTCTTTAAATTCAGTGTTTAAGTGTTTAGTGAAGCTTAAAAAGCAATTAAATTCTACAAAACCATTTTACAAGCTTGTTTTAAAGAGTCCCACTTCGCAGTAAAATTTTAAAGTGATTTCCATGTGATCGGCGCAGCTGCGAGTGCTAGGTGAGTTTATTTTAGCACGCTCGCTCCATCAGACGTTCGTACCTTGCCTTCTTCATCAGGCAGACTCATGTATGTGTCCCAGATCTGGAAGCTGTAGCGCAGCTCAGGAAGGCATACCTCCTGCACTTTGACCCCGAGGTCAGCCTCCAGACGCTTCACCACCTGCAGGACGTCACATCTAGAAATCAGAGAGAAACTTCCCCGGCTTTTGGTGTGTGTATGTGTGTTGCTTATCTGTAGGTGTTTCATTTATTTTATTTTATTTTTGCGCAGACCTTCTCCTGAGCATCCAGCAGCTCCTTGCTGACGGGGTACGAGTAGGGGGAGCCGCCGTCGTGAGGGACGGAGAAGAACCGCAGCTTCTTCAGGTCCACAGCTGCATTTAAGGACAGCCTGATCGGACACATGCAAGCTGATTAAAGCGCGCTGATAAAAACAAAAGAAAAAAAAAAAAAAAAAAAAAAAAATCACTGTTTGGGAAAACCCTCCAGGCTCTGGCAGTGTCTGCTTGTTAGCTCAGGAGCTAAACTAAGCTGAGCTGAGTCGCTGTAAAGAGAGTCGCTCTCGCTCTTTTATATGGGAAAGAACACAGTGCACTGCGAAAATCAGTAGTTCATAGAATAAAAGAACAATGTTCATTTTAACTCAAACATAAACCTATAAAAAGTACAATCAGAGAAACTGATTATTTTTAAGTGGTCTCTTAATTTTCTCCGGAGTTGTATCAAACTTTATGCAGTCAAACATCAAGAGCTTTTCTTTTTTCCTCTCCAGCTCCAAGTGCTGCAGGTCTTCCTACCTTATCTAATCAGTGGAGGAAAAACAGGAAGATATAAAAAAAAACAGCAGTTTACAGAACATTTGCAGAGATAATGAACAGAAACATCCAAGACAGAGGCAGCTGTGTGTGGGGTTTTTTTTGTTTGTCTTTTTTTACAAGGAAAGCTGATAGCTGTAATAATTATCCACATGCATTAGCCTCTGACCGCAGTAATTTGAATATACACACAGTATTAAAATGTTATAATTTATACCCTGACACATCCCCACTCTGTGATTAGGGTCACATCATGACTCGCAACTGAATTTAGCTCAACATAATTCTTCCTATGTGACTTTACAGAGAGCAGCACATGGAGAAATGTCATCCTAACACTCATTTGTGTTTCACACCAACACACACTGGTAAAAAAAAAAAAAAAGAGTTAAGTGAAATGTTGCAGATGTCTTACTTGTGAGCGTTGGGTCCTGCCATGATCTTGAGCATGGGCAGCAGGTCTTCAGCGTAGCGGCACATGGGCCCAGAGCTCAGGTACTCGTGCTGTGTGCCAGAGGTGGGAGGGTACTGGTTCTCACAGGACACCACACCTGAAACACACCACCGACAACTCTGAGCTCCCCCAGAAACACACACCGTTTCACCGTTTCACCTTAACGATTTCCTGCCTTTGAAGAAGAATCAGAAAAGTTAAAGGTCCAGGTTTTACGGTAGAGAAACTTCGAAACGATTGTGCAAACAGCTGAGACTATTTCAGAGGAGGAACGACATGAACTGAGCTGGTAGCTTCAGATCCTGATAACTCTGAGCTTTTTCTTCATTGAAACAACATTTTTGTAATTAAAATCGTGTCTTTGTTCAGCTAATATTATGACTATATTCTTGTAATTAGACAACAATTATCATAGCCTGGCCGTAATGACTCAATTATACGACTCGTAGAAGGGATGACTGAAACAAAAGTCACTTTTTGAAAATATTTCCAATCACTTGTTTTTTTTATTTTAGAAAAGAAAGAAAATCGATTAAAATCTGACTTTTCTTTTAATTATCGCATTACATCCAAAGATAGATGAGTCAACAGATGAAAAGTCAAACAGTTTTTTAGCAAAACGTACTTTAAAAACTGCACCAGTCAATTCCAATACACCTTTGAGCGACATAGCCGCTAATTCAGGTTATAAATCCCAGCAGGTGCGAGTCTTTTTACACACATTCTTATTTGGAAATCCACATAAAGTGAAGATTTAGGAGTACGAAATGCATCAGGCAGCTTCTTTTACCTGGAGTGGTTTTGTGGCCAAACACGCCGTTGAAGAAACAAGGTATGCGGATGCTGCCGCCAATGTCCGAGCCCACGCCGATGACCGCTCCTGCTGCTCCCAGAATGCTGCCCTCCCCTCCTGAGGACACAAAGACAAAGGACACTCCCACATGTGATGAGATCATTCCTGGAAGCAGAGGAGGTGGCGACCTGACCACGAGATGAAACGTTTCAAGGACCTGAGCTTCCTCCCGCTATCCTCTCCAGGTCGTACGGGTTGCAAGTGATTCCGTACAGGTGGTTGTGGGACTCCAGCCACATGCACAGCTCGCTGGTGTTGGTGACGCCCAGAGGGACGGCGCCGGCTCTCTTCAGCAGCGCCACGGGGGGAGCGTCGACGGAGGCGATGACCCCCCGCCTGGATAGCAACCCTGTGGATAAGGGCATGCCTGTCGAAGGGGAAAAAAAATAAATAAATAAAAAACACTGGCTGGTTGGTCAGAAGTAGCTGCATCATGTCGCAGGAATGTGGGTGTGGATGTTAAGCGGAGCATTTACCCTGCAGGGAATAGGACTCTTTGACGGACAGTGGGACGCCCAGAAGAGGAAGTCTGTCCTCCAGAACGTCTTCTCCGCCCGTCTCCTCCTCTATTAGCTTATCAACCTGCGCCGCCTCCTGGAGGGCCGCCGCAAACCTGAAGGGAAACAAGCCAATGTCCTCATGCGATTCATGTTAAGGTGGTAAGTTTGGCTTTATTGGTTATACATCAAATCTTTTGACTGACAAGAATTTTAATGTATTATTATTGAAATTTAGTGGGAGGCCAGCGTAAAAATAGTGCCAATAGTGTTTGTTTTCAACCGATGCAAAACTGAAGAGTGTGGCCTGCGTTTGTATCCACCTCCTTTTTAGTCCAATTCGTGTAAGTAATGTCCATCTACAGGCAAAATACACAACACCTGGAACACACTGTCCCCATGGTGAAACATGGTGGTGGCAGCATCATACTGTGGTGATGTTTTCCCTCGAATGAGCTGCTCAGAGTTGATGGAGCTAAATCCTACATAGGTTTGCAGATGTAATGTGACAAAAATGTTTTAAATAAATATGTAGCACCATTCATTAAATAACAAGAAGAAAGTTATTTAACTGGAAAAGACACAGACACGTTTATCATTTATCATGCAAGTGTTTTTATAAGAATTTCGATTTTCATGTTCTCAATAAATTTCAATTAATGATGTTAAATAAATAAAAAACTAAACTAAACTAAACACCAGGGTTTCCTTCAGTGTATTATAAGCCTGGTGGGTCACCAGGCTTTACTTGTGCCCCTGCCAGGCTAAGCATTGCTTGTTTATTTAAGTCTTTTTTTTTTTTAAATGTTTGCATTTTTTAAGACTTTATAGTTTGTGTTCAGGTGTTAATCTTCACATAAATTTCAAGTGATGTCTTCAAATTTAAACCTTTTTTAACTCAAAAACATGACAGACCGCTGGATGAATGACTGCTCTAACACCCAACCACCAGGCTTTTCTGGGTAAAATCTTGCAGAATCATCAGAAATGTTATTTTTACCATCTTCTCCGCTGCTTGTTTCACAAGAGCATCAATAAATATCAGTACATTCAAAAATTATCATTTATATATGTTTCAAATAGGAATGTTATGAACAGTATTTGTGTTTTTGGTGCTATGAATGCAGTGCCATACAGTCATAGCCACATAGAGACCTAAAAAAAAGTAATAAGTAGTTGTTAATCATAATTTTTTTAACGTTATGTTATCACAATAGTACCACAAAATATCACAATAAGACCCCAGGCTCATATCGCCCACCATTAGCCACAACATTCAGTCTGACATCAAGAGTGCATATAACAAAACGTTCGATAATGTTCTTCTTTCTCACCTGTCTTTCACAACAGCATTCACAAAAGGGTTAACTTCCTGGATCCTGTCAATGTAAGCCTGCACCACCTCCACACTGGATACCTGCAGATACACAACATTTAGACCATTAAAGAGTTTGTGTGAAGACGAGTCAAGAACACATTAAGAACAGGACATGTATGCAAGTAAAGAGTTTTTAATCGCATTTTAAACCAGTTCAGTGTTGCAGTTTAAGCTACAAATATGTATGTTATAAACATGTAAAAAAAAAAAAAAAAAACAACCTCTAACGTCTGGGTAATATCCCCTGAGCGTTTTGATGACCGACAACCAGTATTACCTGGCCTCTGAGTGTAAAAATGACCTGAATGTGTAGTTTACAAACAACAGAAAGCAACACCTCCATGCTCTCTGTCACTAAAGACAAACTAATCATATTTCTCTTGTACAAACAGTGACAGAGGTGTGTTGTTATTCAACAGGTGCCGTGGTGTCACTTAAACTACTTCGCCTGTTCAAGTCGCAGCACTGCCGCTTTAATTATAATGAAACGTTACGGCTCTATAACCGTTGAGCTCATTCCTGAGGTAATAAAGAAAGCTAAATATAAGTGAGGCCAAGTCAATGCTAGCTTTACAACATTTCTGTAAAGACAGAGGGATAAATGAACTGGTGTCCGGCCTGGCTAAGTTGGGTGCACACCTCTTTTCTCCGGATCTTCTTAGCGAGCTGCGTCGCAGACTGGAGCAGCAGCGGGTTGCTGACGGGCGGCAACTTCCTCGAGGAGGCAGCGGGGCTGGAGAGGAGCTGGAAAATCATGAAGAAGAAGGACGTGACAGCTCTGAAGAGCCACGCCTGAACCTTTTCCAGGCGGCTCAGAGCCATGTTTCCACAGCGAGTTGGAGGACGGAAGGTCAACGGCTGCTCGACCGCGGTGAGCCGCTCCTGATGTAGAGTACCTGTTCCTGCTGGTCAAGATGGCGCAGCTTAGAGAGGCTGGAGGAACCAACCGGATGTAGGGTGGAAGATTTCAAAATAAGATCAAACTGAGTTGTTTTTGCTACTCTTCAAATTGGTTAAACCAGTTTTTTTTATTATTATTATTTTTGTATAAAAATGTTCATAGTTATGAGTTGAAATTTTCTGGCTTTAATCAACAGACATGTTAATTCAAAGGAAAAAAATATTACTGTAAGTGAAGGAGAGCTGTAAAAAGCCGTAAAAAGTTGGTTTCAGTCGACGAATGAAGACGATCATACTTTGAAAATCCATTCCGGAAAATGTGTAGCATACAAGTGGTTTTCCTAATCTGAACCTCAATCACAAACATCAAATGTAAAAGTTGAATTGAAAACGCTTTTGCTTTGTGTTATTTGATATTTCAATTTAATACAGCTGCATGTTGGTGTATTAGTTTTTCTTTAATATATATATATATATATATATATATATATATATATATATATATATATATATATATATATATATATATATATATATATATCAGAAAATAAAAGCCGAGCTTGATTAAAATTGTGTTTTGTTTTCATCAAAAGCACGGTAGTGATAATAAAACAATATAACCACATAAATAGTCACTAATGAAAAACAGCAAAACTCTTAGCACAATCATTAAACAGCAAAGTCATTATTTTCTTTCCGACAAGGCTTGTATTTATTGACCTACCCCGATTAAAAGATCGTCTCAATTAATGTGCAATTGTGCTCCGTAGTAAATATCCAATAGGAAGCACTTTTTAAAAAAGTGAAGTTCTATTTGTGCACTGAGTATTCATCCCTTTACGTTCTGCAGATGCACATGCGCATTTTAAGTGATCAATAAATCGATCAGCAGCGCCTTTATCATCTGATGCAACATTAAATTAAAGCACATGGCTGCCGAAACAGAGCGACTGAAATGAGCAGAGTGAGGTTATATCTCCATACATGTAGGACTCTTGACTCGACAAGAAAATGGTTTTATAGTGCAGTAACTATGCGTGACCGCTAGAGGGAAGCACTGCAGAGAAAACTTCAACCACTCTGGGCTCTGAAATGAAAACTATTGAGACAAAGAAGAACCACTGCATTGCAGGTTGGTTTTAGTGGAGAATCCATACTGTGTTTTGTTTCGGACAGACCTGCTGATTCTGCTCATTTTTCCTCAACACACTTTGTTTTTGAGTCACACTTACCAAAATAAAAGCCTTTGGGGCAAATCATTGGAGGGTCACACTTTAACTCTGGTCCTCTATCTACTGCAATAAGAAAATAATTTATTTCTTTGTTACTACGTCTCACGGAAACCGCCTCAACGCTAGATTTTGTTTTCTACAGATTTAGGTAGATTTAAGAATGAATCTTAAACAATAAATTTATTTTAGAATTTAGAGTTGAGCATATTTAAACGTGAGCTTTATTATTAAAAGCCTTGTTTTATAGTACATAATTTAATTTCATTTAATTTCACTTCAATTAAACTTTATGTTCAGCTTTATGCTGACTGCTCACTAAGTTAGAAATATCTCACCCTCTTTCTTGTAGCAACACTTTTTGGTGACTTTATGTGCATTAAAATATTTTAGTAATTTTTTGGTTTCTTCAGTTATTGTGGTTCCAGCAGTGAGAAAAGGGTGTGTACACAAAGAACATCCTCTGTTTTTGTTTTGTTTTTTGTTTAGTTTTTTTTTTTGTTTGTTTGTTTGTTTTTTGCTTGATTGTGTGAATAATAGAAGATTGTGATCATTTCAGTTGAGTTTTTGTTATTGACGCTCATTTCTCAGAATGAGCTTCATTTCGGTGATAGTTTGGGAATGACGCCTCAGAAACAGATGTTAGAAATGTTCTCGCATCCATTGACTCTTTCCGCACTTTATCGCGTTTAAACTTTAATCTACTTTTGTAGGATTTTTATTTAGTACATTATTGAATATTGTTCGATGATGTGTTGACAGGACAGGCATTTGTTGTGCACTTCACAAATTTGACTCTTAAGGAACAGCAGAAATATTGTTAAAATTTTGAAAGGAGGACAAAACAATTCCTGTCTGCAGGCACATATCACACAGACGGCATGAAAGCAGGTTTATTATTTTTGTCCTACATCCAGAGTGCTGCATGTGGTGGTAAAGTCGCAAGCCCACATCACCCTGAACACACCATCCTTATGGTGAAACATAGTGGAGGCAGCATCATGCTGTTGGAATGAATTTCTTCAGGATGGACAGGAAGCTGGTCAGAGCTAGCCAGAAAAGAATGCTACAAAACTGTATGAAGACTGTTGGCGAACTCAGGAGAGCTACAGTTAAAATGATTACATGAAACAATATTTTGTAAAGTTTGAAAAGAAGAACGAGGAAATTTATAAGACGCTATATGTTTTAAGCTGATGGGCATTCCCTCCCCAAAAAAAACTGGTGCTAAGGAATGTTGACTCAGCACAGCTAAAAACAAATGCAAACTACATTTTTTATTTCTTAAACATTAAAAAAAAAACTTGTAATTTTCCTTCCATTTCACAATTATTTGTTTGCCACAAAACCTTGTTAAAGTACATTGGTTGTATTGTGTGAGAAAATGGGAACAAGTCCAAGCGGCATTAATACTTTTGCAAGACATTGTAAATATGAGGCACGCTTCAAGAGCTGCAACCATCCTGTCCCATTAGTGCATACCTGAGAGGCTTTACTTGGGTAAATAAAAGACAAAAAAAAAAAAGTGTTCAAGTGTTGCTGAGAGAACCAAAAGATAAATGCTCTGCCAGAGGGAAACGCCCCAGTCTAAAAAAAAAAAAAAAAAAGCACAACACAAACATGTCCCGATCCCAGCCGGGTGAAGAAAAACACTCTGATCACCTGTAAGGCGAAACCTGAGACTCGCACGTCTGCCGAGCGTGTTGAGACAAGAGGGGAAAGTGGAGGAAACACTCAATCTGCAGGGTTTATGTCCTGGAGCTGCAACAGAAAACGCCGCTGTGCTCCGACTCCTCCTCGTTGCAGGCTGCGCTGCGTTTTGCACGGGGTGCTGCGTGCATGAATCATTGAAAGCTTTATGAATGCGTGCCCTCAGGTCAGAATGATATAGGATCAGCGAACAACAGCAGAATGACTTCAGGCACTTCTGTATTGATTTCTGCCTTGCTGCCCGTCTGCTGATGGACACTGCACACACACCCAACGTTGTGACGCTTTGACGTCTGCAGCACAAACATGTTCGACATGTTGCAGCGCAATTAATAACATGGCTGATGATATATTTTTATATATATATATCTATATAACCTTACGTGCAGCATTAACCACACATTTAATTTACCAAATGAGTTCAACATCCACACCCCCTCTGTCTCCTACTTCCCTCTGAGTGGGCCGTAATTTAGTTTTACTGTTTGTTTGGAGCTTAAATTTCCCTTTCATCCACTTTACAGCACCTTCAGTCTTTCCCCCAGAGGCCCAGGCAGACTGACTTGTGGGTCTCCAGGGTCATTCAGGATCATTCTGTAGTGTCCTCAAATACATCCTAAAATGTAGTTTTATGAATTTATGATGCTTTTTAGTTTAAAGGTTAATGTAGATGTCTTTAACCCAATGCTAAACTCAATTAACAGATGTAACGTGTAATAGAAGATGATGAAGAAATTTAGTATCCGAAAGAAACAAACACATCAGCTTCAGCGTAAAGGTTTAGCAGACAGCAAAAATAATTAAGGCTGTAGTTGTGGTTGTAATTAAGGCTGCATGGTGAGTCATAATGACAATAAAAGCCGCTAAAATTACTGTGATCTAAGGTTTTTATGACATATAAGTTTTGGTCTGCACTCATAGCAACAAGTTGATACACATGAAGCTACACAGTGTTATCATCTGTGATCTGTTTGCTTTCAATTGATGTGAGTTTGTGAGACTCCTGCCTTTTCTTTCTGGTTCTGATTGATGGTGTTGCTGGATTCAGAGAGGCAGAGAAGGCGGAATGATTATCAAATTTGCAGTTTTATGTAATAATAGACATCCAAGTGATTGGAATTGCCCGTCAGCAGTGTTCAAACTCCATTTGAGAAGGGGAAGGTGATGGTTTCGGCCAAAAGAAATCTGTTGCTATGCCGATGCCGCGTAACAGCCACTTGCAGTGCAGCAGACCGCGCAGAGACAAGTCTCAAAACTAGATGAAGTTTTAAGGCTAGCCTCAACCATAAACGTTAAATTTGAGTCAGTATCTCGGGTGATTAAAAAAAAAAAAAAAAAAGTGCAATATTTCTACTGTGAAACATGAAGGTGGATCATTGATGGTTTGGGGAACTGTGAACACCAAAGGCACAGAGAACAAGATCAGAACTGACAGTGAGATAAGTGTAATTTGCTGCGGTTGATGTGAAACAACCCAAGAAACTACAGGAATTTGGAGGCTTTCTTTGCCAGAACTGGTAGAAATGTGAGAAAATAAACTGTCTAATCCACAAATACAACAAAAGACTTCAAGCTGATGTTGAGCAATATCAGGAACTGAACTTTGTAAACTTTAGACCGTCATTATGACGTCACCCTTGACGATGAATACATCATCGTCCCCTCTTGACGATAATCTATTCATCGTCAAGGGTGATCTACTAATCGGCCTTGATGATAAATAGATCACCCCTGACGATGAATGATCTATTCATCATGACGATGATGAATAGATCATCATCTATTCATCATCGTCATCACCCTTCCTCAAGGGTGATCTATTTATCATTAAGGCTGATAAATAGATCAAATAGATCAAGGGTGATCTATTTATCAACACTGATGATAAATGGCTTCACCAGAGCACTAACCAAGAGTGGAAGAAAAGTTTTTGTATTGCCGTCCATATTCTCTGAAAAAAAAAAAAAAAAAAAAAAATTAAATTTCTGCCTGTGAGCACATATGATAGACTAACTATTTTACTTCAGGACTAATATAAATAATAATAATAATAATAATAATGTATATTAATATAATAGTATTAATGTTTATCTTTTAAGAAACTA